GACTAAATACTACAGGCACAATTGGGAAACTCCTGAAACAAAACAACGATTAACTCACTCACGACAAAAACGGCTCTCAGATCCATCAATGAAGATGGCAAAATGCCGAAAAGCGTCTGACAGACAAAACAGCGAGGATAAACGGACCTGTATCATCGAAAGTGGTTTTTTAACAAATTACGCAATAAAAGACTGCACAAAAAACCACAATTAGGACGAGTATAACCAGACCAGAATGATAAAAAAATTAATTAAAAAGTTCTTAAATCTTTGTCACAGGCAGACTAAAACTTCGAAATGCGTTCTGGCATAAAAACAGAGAACTGGCGGACCAGTATACAATCAGATACGACATGCACAAAAAGAAAACAACCCCGAAAACAAACATTAAACTGGCTAGATTCTCAATAGAGAATGAGACATACAACAGGCACAATTAGAAAACCCCTGTAACAAAACATCGATTACCCACTCACGACAAAAACGGCATACGGATCCATCCAAGATGTATGGAACAGAAAAGGACATTAGGGACAAAATATTCAAAACCAAAACTAACTCCTCAACAATACGGACAAGTTTGAAATTACTCCAAAGGACTAAAAACAAACATATATACTTGAAATTCTCAATATATACAAGCACAACACTTTCAAAACTTCATGAATACACAAATCAACTACTTACCCACGCCATTTATGCTGTTTAAAACATTATATAAGGTTAGAAGAAAGGAACGTCTGACTGGCATAAGTCGGCGAGGATAGGCAGACCAGAATGATTAGAGACTACCCAAGACAAGTTCGCAACAACAACAAAAATTATAAAAACGCGTTCTGACGTAGGAATACAGCAAGAACTGGCGAACCAGTATACAGTCGGGAACGATCGATCTGAGAAGAATTGTTCGATCGGCAGGTCCAAAAATGTTTTTTCAAACATGGTAGACTCGATTAAGCCGAGGTTGTACCGCACGCCTTAACGGTCCTGCCGGTTTAGCCTATGGGGTGCGCCGTTTTCTTCTATCCAACCTGATTCTTTACGGTTGACATCCGTGGTTTGCATTTAACATTCCTACATTGTGTTGACTTAATTATGACATAGAAAATATAAAAAAATATTATGCTTCGTGTTTAGCGAAATATAAATGTGCGAACATGGTCCTAAAAAACTGATTGTTCGCTGCAAGATTTTACATTTTAAACTTCTTAATGAAATAACCAAGTTCCCTTTTACATTACTCCATTTTACATTACTTCAGATCTAAATATATACAATATATCTCATGGGCCGCGTAATGATGAATCGACCAGAATTCGATGCAGTCCATGGACGAGGTTCAGGTTTAGAGATGTTTAACTCTCCATAGTTGCGAGTTACTTACAAAAAAGGTACATATACCGAGGTTTTTCTTGGGTTTTTTTTAATGATGGAGGTTGATTCTGCTCCCCAGATTTCACATCTGTACAACACGATCACATTCGATTCTAGTTTTCAAGGATGACTGTTCATTCATCAGCGGATATAGGATTCCTAACTTGCCCTTCCTTCAATTTGAATTGTATGTGCCAGTTCCAGGTTACTCTGCTCTCCAGAAACAACCCTAAATATTTGATTGTCGCATCTTTGGGGTTGTAACATATCTTTTTGGTATTTATTTTAATTCCGGACGATCTCGAGGATGACACAGTGTGGACAAGACAAAGTGCACATGGCTTCGCATTTTGAAAAGTTCTCATTAAATTCCCATTTCTCTATGTATTTAACCACATTGTCAAGATGTCAAGACTGGACGTCATGGTCATAATATGGTTATGTCGTTTAAAAGTGATCAGGTAGGTAGGTAGGACGTTCAAGTTGAAGAGTAAGGGTGAGAGGACAGAGCTTTGTGGAGTCCAGATCACTACTGCTTTTTCTTCGTATCGATGATTTTTGATCCGGACAAAAAAGGATCGACCTATCAGGAATCTATAGCAATTCCAATTTTTATTTCCGTCAAGAAAATCAACTACGGTATGTTTTTTGGCTTCGAATCCCCTGATTCTATTGCCCTGGCAAACACCCGAACTGGGTTTTTGGGATTATTTCTTTACTATAGCTCATCAGTCCGGTATTTTAAGAATTTCTCGAACAGTTGGTCTATGATGGAAAGGAAGCAGATTAGTCCATAATTGTGTGAATTATTTTTGTCTTTTTTCCAGCAATAAATCAAAATTTTTGCTCTTTTTCCATCGTTTAGGGAAGGAGTGTACGCGGAGGCAGCTTTTAAAGATTTCGACTATTTTGATTATTGCTTTATTTGGAAGCTTTTTAAACAAATGAGGGATTGAGGGCTACGGTGGCCGAGTGGTTAGGGTGTCCGACTAGTATTTGCCACGCTAGCGGTCTTAGGTTCGAATCCAGGCAGTGCTTTTTGGCTTTTTGATTGATAAAGGTATGTAAAATGTATTGTAAAGTGGTTTAACCCGCGTTTGCGACACCCAATGGACAGTTGGACGTTAAGCCCTCTTGTATGACAGAAATTTACTTTTTTAACTTTTATAAGGGGTCAGAACTTTTGTCATGGGTTTTAAAAACCATTAAACTGATAATAAATTAATTCAAAAGACGTTAAGGGTTTCATGACTTAGAATACATGTTAAAAATTAATAAATTAATTGCTAAAAAGCTGTCTGAGGACGAGAAATTAATGTTTGTCCAGTAGAGAATTCAATTTCCTTCGTTATACTGAGAAAAATCAGATCTACTCAAGTCAACATGAGATGAGAAATTTTGCATAGACGGCTAAGAGATCCAAAAAATTTGATTAACTTATAAACAGGCAGTCTCGAGAAATACTTCTCATCGGAATGTTGAAGTGTGTGTTTGAAAATAGATTTAATTTGATATCTAATCCATTAAAAAATGGATCTAAAAGTCGGTTACTATAAAGCAGGAATAGAATAAATAAAGCGTATTATCCATTATTTTCCATTGCCGTGATTTGACTGTATGTTTTTAAACTTTTGTTGTCAGTACCATTTTCAAGCTTCTAAGCGAAGGAAGGAATAAAGTGGGCGGACTAGCACCAAGGGATAAATCTGAAAAACTTTTGTGTACGGTTGCAAACGGATAGGGGCGGTTTTGGGAATAGGTTTGTGGCACCACCTAATGCTATTCCCGTGTGCACGTCACTCATGTGATGTGCTCCCGTTCCCGTGATTAAATATTGCTCGACATTCGCCTTGTCAGTCCGAAAATAGTATCGCTAACCCATTTTCATATTAGCGAGAGGGTGGAACCGGCGAAGGTATTTTTTTGGAAAATTTGACAATTTTTTAGATTTCTAGAACCCTTGAGAAAATACTAACATGACTAACAGCATTTAAAAGTTCATTAAAAAAATCCATGAAAAAATGGATTTCACTTTAATTTTAATTGAAACAATAAACGAACAGTGGGAGAATCGACCTCTTGACAAGACGAAGGTCAAAAGGGCACAGTAGTTCAATTGTAGATAAATAAATACATCTAGCGTCTTTATTGAGCCGACTGCAAAATTCGCTTTAAAGAATAAGTCAAAGGGGGAAAAGGCCCGAGGAACAACCCATAGAGCCCAATGCTTAGGTAGCACGATTGTGTAAAAAAAGGAACAAACAAAAGATCTCATTTAAGATAAAAGTAGGTGTGGGTTTGTACCAGGTATTACTAAATCAATCTCACTTTGGCATCGTGTCCCTTGGAAGTCGCTTTTGATATCGAATCTACTATATCACCGTATTATTAAATTAACCATCTTATGTAAAGTATCAGCATAAAGGTTCTTAGACCAGAAGTCTAGTATCAAAAATTCATAAAATGAAAAATTGAGGAAGAACTACTACAATAATGAAAATGTCAAAATAAAATATGAATTTTTTTTCATACAATTTTCTAATTCCAATAAAACGTACGAATATAGACATGTATATTTCCGCCGTTAACACTGATTATCCCATATCCTTGATGTTGGGCTACCCAGAACGTATGGCCAATTCCATATAAGTTAGCCCTTTTTTTAAAATAAACCTTTACATCTGGCATTCTATTTCAAATATAATTATTGAGATTGTATAACGAGAAAACACTTGTATATAACAAGTTTTGCTAAGGGGAAAAAAACAATAAATTACTCGGACATTTTTTACTTATTTCATTGCAGAAAGGTTACGACTTTATAAGAATTAATTATTTTATATATTTATTATTTTTACAGGTCGCTTATTTCAAAAATATAACGACCGATCCGGCAAAAAAAATCAAATATGAAATAAATACAATAATTCCTCTCATCAAAACGATCCAGCGAATAGGAGTTACCTCCTTTCCAATTTAATCACAGAACAGTTTCTGAATTATTCATTCCAGTAAGACTCCTCCGAGGAAGGAAGAAATGAAAATGAATAATAACAACATTTATCCCGATTAAAGTTATTTGAAATGATGACCGGGGTATTTACATTTACAAATTTATTCACGCGTTCCTCTTGTTTATAGGAGAAGAAACCGACTCCTTTATCATAAAACGTAGATTATTTTTAAAAATTATTACTATTTTCCATAGCAGGTTGTCAGGTCTGACGTTCCAAATGTTGGTCTAACAAAAAATAACCTGTTTGTTTTGTATATTTTGAAATACATGATTTACATTGAAAAGTATGTTCGCGTATTTTTACGAAATGTTAATTTTAAGTCAGGATTGCAAAGTAACATCAAACTCCATGCAGTACTTATGCAGTATGTGACCAGCTTCTTGTCAAAAAACTTAATTAACATATTTAAATGTCACTTAGTTATTACGGCATTTTGGTTGAGCTGAATTATTTCTTTAAATGTAACCAATTTTGGTGACAAAAAGTTTTCAGAATAACTATCAAATAAACGAGACTGAATTGTATTTCTTAAAAGAATATTTGACCTCATACAAAATTTAAAAATAGTATTTAATAAAAAGTATTTATTTAAAAAAAAATCAAACTCACCTAATGCTGTACATCCTTCGATAATCGTTATAAAAACTAAGGCCGCAACTACAATAAGAAAAAAAAATTAAATTAAAATACAAGAGAAAAATACATGAGAGTAAGAAAAAAGAAAAAAAAATTAAAATGTTAAAAGATGCAACCCACTGGACGCGGACGGCGAGTGCATTCTCGTCAAGTACCGGAGGCAGTTTGTTGAAGAAGGGTGGCTTGGATCTGAGGGTGCGAGCCGGAAGGGTGGCGCATGCTTAACACCCTTCTTCTACTCATCCACTTCGGTAAATCGTTTATTATTAAATGCATTCAAATTTTAATAGTTTTAACTAGTACAATTGGAAGGGCCGACTGGTTGTTTGGGCCTTATCGAAACGACAAGAAGTCGGAAACGTAGTCGTGTTTGAATCATCGTCTTCTCTACCACCGGAAAGACTACATTATTAAGAACTTTGTTTTACGTTATTAAACGTCAAATCGACGGCAGGCCGATTATATTGGGCTGTAACTTAGGTATTCGCCGTTTTCATATTGAGACCTTTAAAGCTTCATAAATTCATAGTTCATGTTGGATATGCCGATCTCGGCCGCTCTTCCTGAATCTTCCACGATATTTCCTATGGAGGAAGGTCACACAGGGTTAAATTATTCGAATACAATACAAGATAATCAACGAACGTCGAAATATCTCGTTGAACCCCTCCGCGTAGTATTATGTTCGAATACAACCGAAATTTGGTGACGCTGCAATCGCGGACAGAAAATTATTCGAATTTCCAGCTTTTCAGTGAAACAAACCTGGGTTTTTGCAAAAGCCCTTGTGCTTTAAGCCATCAATAAATTATTAGGTAAGCCGGGATACTGGCTATTCCGGAGTTGTTGGCAGTCCACAGCCATACCACAGCAGTCTTGAATAATCACAAGGCTGAATAAAACTTAACACCTAGGCACTTAAAAATATTGAGAATGACAGAAAATAGCCTGTCTAGGTTAGGTTCTGACAAGAAAAAGAGGAAACTTCAGTGCATATGCTATATATGCTACTAAGAATGCCCAGCAATGAAAAGGTTTCTACTCACGGCCAAAGAAAAGCAGAATCTAGTACATATAACTGAAAAGCTAGTTATCAAGGCTCTGTTGCCTAATAAAAAACCTAAAGCCATATAGTTATAAATAAGTTAAATCCCATACTTTGAAGTCTTAGTTTGGTGGAAGCAGTGCAACAGTCTAATAGATGACTTTTAACTCTTGCTTCTCCTAAAATTTCATTTTTTCTGAAGCTCTGCCAGGCATTTCTGAAGCTCTCTACAAATGATCACTTGTAATATATCTTCCTATGATACTGACTACATTAAATACTGTCCTCTTTCTCAAGCCATGCAACTTAAATAATTTTTATTTAGAAATCGTGAGATGCAGTCTGGTGTGATGTAGGTTTCAGAAAAACATTTTCTTTATCGTACCAACGTTTCGATCTTTATTGAGATCATCTTCAGGGCTCAAAGTGTTTGTCTTCTGTGAAATTGTGCCATTCTTGCGTGTCGTGTCGAGAGTGCCTAAATAATTTTTTCTGAATTAGGCATTTTTTTCTTATCCTTAAGGCAATATAGATCATTATACCCACCAGGAACGTTGTTGTTTGTTTAACCATCAAAGCATGACAGTGTTTTTCCTATTAAATGTTTTTATTTTATTATTACTTTTTTAAATATTATTGTATAAAATGGTAACGGAATTAAAATATTTGATATTTTTGGTTTGAATTACATCAATGTTTATATTCATTTTATATATATTCTTGAGCATTTTACTAATATTCCAAAGGACTTGTTATAAACAACTGAAAAAATTAAGTCAACAAAAAATTAAATGTGTAAATACCATTCCAAGTGGTTTACTTTCTATACTTGTTAATACTTCATTTTTAAGATACCGATTTGGGTTTAAAAAAATATTTTTCCTTAAAAGCCAACTCCGTAACATAAATATTCAAATCTGCCTAACAAATATACTGATTATTGATTATTATAAGTTCAAATCTGCACGTGTATGTACAAACATACACTCAAGAATTTACAATCGAGCCTTGAGAATCACCTACTCCAGGAGTTGGCAGTCCGGGGTCAGTCCTCGATTTTATCCATTCAGCCGCCAAGGTTAAGCTCGAAAGGCTGTCAACAGCTAGGTCATTTCTGCCCCAAACACAATCAGTACCAATTCCAAACTAATAATTCCAAACCTATTGTATAACTAACCAAATTGAGGGACAATGGGAATTCAATATTCTGCTATCGGCATTATCACACTACACATTCATGCCAATACATGCATTATCAACACACGCTAGGTACACAAGCTATCAGTGCTACAATAAAACAACTCTGCTTCCTGCAAAGATCAGAACAGGAGACCCAGATACTTTCTGCCCTGCTCAAGGACAATTCTCATATTGGGTTTATTCTGACATGCTCTCTGTACGGAGCCTTAGAAATTGAACTCTTCACATAGGGGGGACACGAACTTTGGCCCAAAAGTAAGTAACCTCGAATGGCCTATTCTTAATAGGGTGAGGACTCATCTTCAAGCAGCAATTCTCTGAAGGTTACCTATCAACAGAGATCTTGAGACATAAGATTGCAAATCTGACCCATTGATGCTGCCACTTTCTTTTAATCATGTTTTTATTGAATTTATACAGGCCCTTTTTATTTCAAGGGGCCAGATCGTGGTGGTTAAGTCTAGAAGTTGGGACACTAAATGAATAGATTCTACATTCCAACATTTTCACTAAAATCAGAATGAGAAATCAAGTTATAACTAATTATTGTAAAAGAAATATGTCGTATGTCGCTTACAACACCTTGTTGTACGCTTTCATTTTATTATTTAAAGTACATTTTGCAATACTATTAATTTATTTATTGACTGACTTCAGTTTGATTCTGCTTGGCTATTAAATGAAATACAATAAACTATCTCATCTTTCTCTTGTAACAACTGACGATATTTGGAAAACATATTGTCTTTTTTAAAAACTTAACAATTGGGAATAGTAAACGTTTTTGACTATTATGTTTTGTGAATGTATATGGAACACTGCTGTTGCCTTCAGATTTATAAAACTTTTCACAGATTGTCTCTGGCTTTCATAAAATTGTATTTTAACGGTGAAAGCTTGGTACACCAAACAGCATTTTATTTGGACAGTACTAAAAAAATTAAAATATAAAAACACAAATATTTGACAAAATAGTTGAATATTAAAACAGCCTGATACTTCAAAGTACAGTCAACTTTTAGCCTCCAGGCAACTTAAACTATGTAAAACATTGACGTTTTAAATTCAAACATTTTTTTTCTACCAGTATTACTCATTGTTGGGAAAATGATGAAAAGTCATGGTCCATAAAAATTTGTATTCAGTTCAGAGAATTATCAAAACAGCAAGATTTTTTAAAAAATCCTTAACATTAAATACTTGTACTATAAAATAGTGACAGTTTAACTAGTTCTTAAGTTATTAAATTTTAGAAAGAAAAAATGGCAGAGAAAAATTTGATAAACCTAGTTTACCTGTAAGGCAGGTCATGAGGAAGGCTCAATGACATTACAACGTCGTGCTGGACTGCAGAATGAATGCTATTTTGATAATGACCCGTCCAAATTGGACATTTAATGAATTAAACAAACTGAAAACATTCAAAAATTTATCAGCATATGCTGTTGACAGCATAACAAGAAGGTTGCAGCACGTCGGCTGAACCGGCACAAGCATCAAATTGCACTCTAGCGAGAGCTGTCATGACTACGAATTTTCTGGACATGGTTTTCATCATGCTACTTGGAATTGTACAACTTACAAAAAATTAATTTAAACTTTTTCTTATATTATAAATATAATACATTATATTTAAGTTTAAAAAAGTTACAGTAAGCATTAATTGATTAATTGACTGGGTATATGTGTTCAAGTACAGCTCAACAGCTACCCTAAACCAGATTAGAACCAGAATTAGATATTTAAACACTGAATCAGTAAGACGTACTCTTATTGATTGTTTGTAAATGTCCAGCATTAAAAAATTCCCTTTTCTCTTTAAAAAAAAATAAGCCTAACTGACCTTTTAAAAATTGCCAGCAATGACTGAGCTTTAAAATTTGACTTCGACTATTTAATATTTTATTTGGCAAACTGTTTTTTTAATCCGTTTATTTTATAATCTAGTGTGAGTTTGATTGTTCATATTTTGGGCACCAAAGAATTTACCTGGCCTTATTTCTTCTTTCTCTTTGGAATCTGTTTTGAGTCAGGAGCCAAGTTTCAAATTCAATTTCCGTATATGTTTCAAATTTAAATTCCTTCTCCCCATAGACATTTTAAAATTTATGAGTTCAACCCACAGGTCCTCAAATCCACAAAAGTTAAAACATTGTAAGCCACGAGCAGCCTAGCATTGTAAGGGTGAGAAGAATCTGCTGGTGTTATAGTGTTTGCAGTTGTGGGTTTTCTATATGTCTAAAAAGTTCTAACAAACATCTTTATTAATGTATAATGAGGAGTAAAGAATTAAAAAAACAAGGCCAGTAGGTATATCATCTGCCTCATCATTCATTTAGAAACTCCTCTAAAAATTTTAGCATAGTATATAGCAATTGTTAAAATGATACGATAATATTTAGGAATTTTTCAAAATTGTATTTAATGTATTAGTGTGAGCTTCTGTGTCAAATAGTTCACACCTTTTTTTTACACAATTTTCCAAAAGAATTCAAAAAGTTTAATTCGAAATGCATACATCGATGAGATGAAAGGGTTTATTAGCACAATAACTGACATTACATATATATTACACAGGGCGGGCGACCAGGACCCGAGGGGTTAAAAGCCTGAGTAGGCCCGTACCCCATCCCTAGAAGGTCCGGGACCTGGTCGGCTCACGAGTCCTGTATAAACCTATTGGACCTATTCACAAACCCCAGGATTGTGGACCATTTTATCCTGGGGAGTGTTTTGGTTATGTCCTCTCCTTCGAAAGTATTAAATCTTTCCCTAGCATACCTATCGCATTCTGCGAGGTAGTGTCGGGCCGTTTCTTCTTTTGTTTCGCAGAAGCGGCAGAAGGGGTCTGGTAGAGTACCCATTATGAAGAGGTGTCTTCTCAAGGGGCAATGGCCCGTTAGGATACCTATCAGCNCCCAGTCCTTGATACTCAAACCTGCTTTCCTGTTTGAGATCCTTAGTAGTTTGTTTATGGACTCTTTCTTAGTTTCCAGTCCTACTGCATACGTGGATACTTTGGCCTTCCTTGGTAGGTCATTGATGTCACACACCACGTATTCCCTCTCTATCCATAATTTCTCTAGTGTGTCCCTGACAAACTTGACTGTAGCTTCATCGCCACAGCTTATCAGGAACATGGAGCCACCTTTTACCAGGCCTGAATTTACAAAGTCTACGCCTTGGTCTTCGTCCTCTTCTTCAATTAAGTCCAAGGCACTGTTGCAGATCAATGATCTCAGCTTCAGAGCCTCTTCGTTAGTGAAGAAATCCTTATTAACCTTCCTGAAAACAACTTTATAAGTAGGTTTAGAAGTTGTTACCTGTTCGCTTACCTGACCCTGCCTTTGTTTTTTGGCAGGTCCTGAGGCAGAAGGAGGGGTATTGGAGTACTCCGCCCTGCTTCTTTTAGTACAGTTCCCCAGTCTCTTTTGGGCTGGGGTTGTACTCACCTGTGAGCCCCTTTTATACTTGAACCTGTCCTTGAATTGTGGTTGGACGGTCGATGTGGGCCCACTCCTACGAGGGTTGAGGCGACCCCTGCTGTGTGTATTTCTGGATCTCACGCCTCTCTTCCCTCTTTTTACCAGGGTGAATCCTTCATCCGGATCACCCTGTACCTTACAGAGAGCATCCTTATCTCCTTCACAGCGCTCCAAAGCGGTGCAGCCGGTGGATAAAGGAGTACTCTCCACTATTTCAGCAGTCTTCTTCTTCTTCGTCGTTGTCTGCTCCATCTCGTCCTTATTCCGCCTCCTCTCCTTCTCTAACTCCTTCTCGGGGTTAGACTCTTGTTTTCCACTCATCAGAGTGGAAAACTTCGGTTGAATCGAGTAAAAGACGTGATTATTCAATAACTGACATTACACTATACACTGGCTAATGAGCAAAGTGCTCATAATGTACATCATAGAATTAATAGGTAATATTTTCTAGTATTCTATGAGAGTATTTTCTAATTGTTCTAATAGGTGAGCTTGTTAAATACATATTGAAACTGAAGTCAAACAATAAAATTACCCCAAAATAGCTGTCCATAAATATGTTCTACGACTCCACTCGTTAAGAAGACACAAAGATTAAAGATGAAAAAGCAAAAATACCATATTGGCAATTGTCTCTTTATAGTGTAAATCAATTAATTTATTATTACATATATATATACAGATGGCTTGAAGATGGAAAATGGTACAGGGTAAAGGCACAAAAGGGCATAACTTTGAGCACCATATAGCCCACCACAACCATCTTTCAAGCTGAACTGCTAGCTAGAGACATGTTTGCATGAAATAATATCTCAAAGGTGCAATAATTGCCAGTCAGCTCTAAATGCTCTCCAGGACTATGAGATTAACTCAAAACTTGTCTGGAACTGTCCAAATTCCAGACAAAACTGGGATCTACAAATAGGCCAACTTTAATGTGATTGTCATGAGGAAATTTCAGGCAGCGAGGCAGCAGATATTCTTGCTAAACAGGAAAAATTCGTAGGCGGAAATTTGGTATAAACTATAGCCGAATTAAAACTGTACTGTAATCTTGGGTAACTAAAGAACAAATACTGGGGGCAAAAACCTGGCAAGTAAAAAAATTAGAGAAAAAGAATAAATTTTATTTTAAAAGAATTAAAATCTCTAACAGGTATATTTACAGGACATGCTCCAGTAAAGTATGGTAAATAATGGGACTATCAACAGATGACCGATGCCGATTATGTCTAAAAGACGCAGAGCCAACAGAACATGTCCAATGCAACTGACTCTCAACTGCCAGGAGAATGCTATGGTACCCGAGAAAACTGTTCCTAAGCCGTGCACATCTCAATACCATGTTCCCAAGTCTCTACTTCATAAAAAAAAATCTTACAGGAAATCTATTAGTTGAGATCAGAACAATAGATGAAAGTTTAAGTGCTAAAGGGAAAAATCGCTATGACTCTAAATGGGAAGGATACAAAAATTATATATACATTTAATTAATTATCCTTTTTGATTAATATTCTCTGATGGTAAGCACTGTCACAGGATATATATCACATATCTTTACTAAAAAATTGTTTAAAGCAAAACTAGGTGAAACCAAGGTGGGCTAATCAACAGCTTTTCAGTTTTTCATAGGTCACTTGGTTGTGGATTTAATTTCTAATATTGCCCTGGGAATTTTCTTCCTTCAGCAAAATGTATATTAGTGAGTTTTTTGTTAGACAAATCATAAATGTACAAAATGTGCAACTTGACCCCACTTTTTAACTTGAAAAATCAGCTTTGGATAATTAATAAATAACAAGCTAAAAACAGAATCAATTTATTCAGATAATAAGTTATACTGCTTTTTAATTTCAAACAAAATAACACTAGCTGCAGTCGCAGTATTGAGGCTTTCCATTTGGTTGTGTAGAGGTATGGTTATTCTCATACCATTATGTTGATTTGCCAATTGGTACGCCTCATTACTCAGTCCTTCGGTCTCCCCACCCAGGATAACGACCGCATTTGAATAAGTGTAATCCACTTTGTAATAAGGGTTTATTGGGATTTTGACCCTTTGCAAAGGGTGTGCAGAAGACGTAGGATGATTGGTAGCTAAAAATACGAGTGATCCATTTTGCGCCACTTCTTCATGTACACTGTTCCATGCTATATCGGTATGAATTGGTATCTTAAATTGAGCTCCTGCTCCTGCACGAAGAACTTTCATGTCCCAAGGATCGACACAACCTGAAACAAGTCCGTATTAGAAACGTTTTCACGTCCCAAGAAAATGTTTACTTACCAGAGGTCAACTGTATATTTTTAACTCCAGCTCCTGCAGCCACACGAAAGATCGCTCCCAAATTTCCAGGGTCTCGGACATTATCACAAACAAGAGTGACAGGTAAACTTCTTTCGCTTTGAGGCACTATTTTTGGCCTTTTACAAATGGCTAAAATTAAAATAAATATTACATAAAAAATCATGCCCTTAATGTTCAATATAATGTCGTATGTCATAGATTTACGGGGAAAAAATTGTTCCAATACCAATAATCCCTTGTGATGTTGTCACATCTGACCAGACTTTTAGTTCATTGTAAGGCATTTTGTACAGCTTTGTACTCGCATCAAACTGGATGTCCTGAATATCCTTGGTCTGACTGAAAAATACCATCAATGGTTTTTCTTGCAACTGCATCACTTCTTTCAACTGCCTAAATCCTTCTATTAAAATCAAGCCTGATTTCTTGCGTTGATTTTTCGATTTCACTTTTTGCATAATTTCACTGCAATGTTAAATTCAGTGTTATGAATTTATGTATTTCTTTAATATGTTAATATAATTTAAAATAAAGCAATATTTCCAGTAAAAAAAATATTGTTTTTATAAGCAAACAGTTAAGTTACATACGGTGTAATTTTCATCGATTTTTTTTTCACTGGATATTGCTTCAGAAATCTTTTTATTGCTAAATATTTAACTTCCGGAATTTATATGTTATTATTAGGTTTGTATTCAAAGCAGCTTTAAGTAATAAAAAATATCTACATTTTTCTTCTAAATTTAAGGCTATGCTAATGTGCTAGTCAACCTTGAGTTACAGTTTTTAGACGTGAACCCTGAAAATTAAAAAAAAAAAAAGCATATTGTGCTCAATGGTAATGAAGGACATTATAATTCTTTAACTTCACACTCTTCATAAAATTGGTTACATGTGCGTCAAACAATTTAATAAATAAAATAAAAACTAATAGAATATAATTAATCCGCAAAGTTCCTTTTCACTAACATATAAAAAGGTAAAATAGAACAAACCTCCACAACTGAAGATGGCAAAATCTTTAAAATGCAAACCAGAATGATTGAAAACAATATCAATAAAAGCCTCTTGGTGCAAAAATGCTGATTAATAATGATAAAAAAAAGTTACTTGAACATTTGCGAAATATCTCTCTGAGGTAAAGAAATAATAAAAGTGAAAGTCTCTCCGAGGTAGTTAAACCTTATGAATCATGACTTAGTTGACATTGAACAAGATAAATATATATCCAATTCACTTATGGCATATTCCTCTAGATCTTTTACTTAAATGATTTACTCCAAGACAAGTATCACATGAAATACAATAGGTTCAAAATGATAAAAAAAATTCTTACCCATACATCAGCTTACCTCTTACATTACCGTGATCCCCAAGCCAAATAAAAATTTAAACGCCTGATAATCTTCACTGGTTTTTTATCCATTCCTTCTCAACTATTTGATTCAACAGCCTACATGCAAAGCAAGGAACAATTAAAGCTTCGAGGGATGCTTCAGGCAGACAGGGTTCTGGGGAGGCCTGTTGAAGCCACGACCCTTAAATTAAGGGATCAAAAATTTCAAACTAAAATACCTGGTAGAGCAGATTTGAGAGAAAGGAATCCCAGTTAATGGCAACCATATCTGGTATACAGATGACTCCAAAACTGGGTATGGGTGAAACAGCTGATATTTATGCCCTGGGCAATATGTATGTCTAAGCAGAGACTATTTGGCACTGTGCGAAGGAGATTAAAAGGCTAGGTATCGTTAACAGAGTAGCTATCTACTCAGAGTCAGGCGACTCTGAAGGTAATTTCTGCATTGGTGGTAAAGTCCACCATTTGGCAGACTTACCCAGTTTTGGAGCCATCTGTATACTAGATATGATTGCCATTAACTGAGATTTTTTTATCTCAAATCTGCTTTACCAGGTATTTTAGTTTGAAATTTTTGATCATTTGATTTAAGGGTTTGCAATAGGGCTGATCAGACATTTAGGTAACCAACTAATTTACCCTTGCCTATGCCCAGAGAGGCAAAGAAGTCGATAATTTGGCCAAGGAAAGTTCAATGAGTACTATTGATCCTGTACATGGCATACCACTGTTCAAAACTAGTCCCAAAAAGTATTTGAGTAGCATCAAAACCCAGTGCCGGTTCAACATATATATTTATACAACCTGTTGCTTAATTCGAGGAAGTTATGACTTACAGTTGTCATAAGTCTAACTTGGAATGCATACTATTAAAAAATTTAACAAATGTAAATTCTTTATCGCTCAACTTTGCACATCTGACAATGAAACGATCAAACTACAGCGGTTTTGCTGAAGATACTCTATTTCAGCATACTTAGGTATACATATCATATTACTATGTAATATAAACTTATCCTGTCCTAGTCCTACATACTATAAATACATGAATGTCTAGTGAATCTCACTTTTTGTATAAATAATTATATCCATTATTCAGATTGTGATTTCGGGTTGCGGTCTGGTCGTAAAATCCCGTTTAAATTGTAAATCACCTCAGTGTGTTATCTTTATAGTCGAGTCGGACGACGGTGGGCTTTTTCTGTGATGTCGAGCATGAGTCAAGCGGCCGGGCCTCTGCAGCTGAAAAAGAGAAACGCGTGAAACTCGGCTGTCGTACGGCGGCCGCAATAAATCGGCAGAAAACTGAAAATCGCAAAGCCATTCTGCAAATCGACGACGAAACGGAAAAGTGAATTTCGCCTATAAGCAGTAGCCGGCTTCCAGTATACACAAGAGGTTACCAGAAGCCTAAGGTTTATCGTTTGTTCAAACTTATCAGAAACTCAGGTTTTCTGTCTTTAATTTTGTTGTTGTTTTTCGTTTAGGGCGACTAATTATGTAAATAACGAAAAGATTAGGAAAGTATAAAAATAATGACTTGTTTGTTGTATTTTTTTCTATTGTAACGAGTATTACAATGCAATTACTGAAACAGGTCCGTGTTGTGTAACATGCAATTAAGTACGACTCGAGTGCCGAGTGCGGTTTGACTGTTGACATATTGTAACAACTCTCGGAACTGTTCTGTTCGACCTGTTCTCACTTCTCACTCAGACGAAGTATAAAACTGCGACAATGTCTTTGGGGCTGAAAGGGAGAGCTTTGCATTTTGTCTTTAAGATCGGGGATCGGGCCGAATCGGCGAAATTCTACAGAGACATACTCGGCATGAAGGTGAGAACGGAAAATCAGTTTCTTAAATTTCTTCTTATGGGCGAGGTAATGTACCTGTAGTTTTGTCGTTTCTGATCATTCCGGTCCGCCTGGACTCGCTTTTTCGGTGTGTCAGATCGGTTTCGACGTTTTGCTATGTATATTTGTTGGTGTTAATTCAAGAAATCAAGGAGTTTATGGAAAAGTAAGGATCATATAGAGTTATATATGTTTTTTGTCTTCAACTACTGAGGGTCTTTTAGGCTGGGTGTGCAACGATTATTTTGTTATGTATATGGTATATGGAAAGAAAAAGAAGAGCCTACGCGTGAGCAGCATCCCCCGGATAGACAGACTGGCCCTCACTGAACCAAATCATTCCAACTTGTACTTACAGACGTTTTGTGAGGTATGTGGACAAAAACCATTTACACTGCTGTCCACATCCCTTCATCTACCTGGGAAAAACATGCCTAGGTGCCATCAGAGATACGTCAGGCACCCCTGACCAGACCACCTGCCCGAGTGACACTGCTCCACACCAGCCACCCCAGTCCTCCCCCATCAAGACCAACTCTACATGGTCTCATTTCTTTTAAAAGTTTTGTATGTTCGACAAACTGGAAAAGGGACTTAAGAAGGGCATCATCATTTAGAACAGGGCTTCCCAAACCTTTTAGCCAGCGGACGCCTTTCACAGAACAAAATACAGAGCAAACTCCTTGCCTTCAAGTATTTAAAATTAAATGCTTATAGTATCTGTAGTACTAGTAGTAATTGTAAAGTGCTATAAATTAGCATTAGCCAGTCCTTAAGTGATGGAGAGGGATATCACTATGAAAAAAAAGACACTTTCTTTGTTTTGTTTTTTTCTACAAAGTTTAAGAAGTCAAACAGCCAGGGAAGTCAGATGATTGCTTCTAATTGCAACTAAGCATAAAATACAATGGTTACCTTTTATAATATAATTTAAATTGTTGGACATGTACCATCAGTTCAATTTTAACTCTTCAATCAGGCCTTTTCTTTCTTACATAATGCAATACATGGTTGTAATTTAAAAAAAAATTGATTAAGTAGACTCATTATTGTATTAATTTGTAAAAAGATTTTTTTTTTTTTTTTATGGCGACATTTGTTAAAATATGTATTTTCTGATAGGTTCTTCGACATGAAGAATTTTCAGAAGGTTGTGAAGCTACTTGCAATGGGTAAGAAGTGAATTGCCACTTGATATAAATTTGTTTCTTACAACTTAATTTTCCTAGGCCTTATCAGAACCGCTGGAGCAAGACAATGGTCGGCTACGGTGCTGAAGACACTCATTTTGTCTTGGAACTCGTTTATAACTACGGTGTGAAAGAATATCAAAGAGGAAACGACTTCCTTGGGATTTGGATAAAATCGACGGATGCTATCGTGAGAGCCAAAGCATACAACTGGCCGATGAAAGCAGAAAAACAAGGTTTCGCACTAGAAGCTCCAGGAGGTTATCCGTTTTACATCGAGGATGGTGATATTACAAAAGATGAAGGTTCGTTCAATATCTATTAGTGATTTGTATAAGCTCATATTGTACATGTCCATACACACGTGTGCAGAGATGAGCCTATCACTTCTCTCTTATATGTTGGGGATGATGCAATACTCATCATACAACATGGGGAGGGGAATGGCAGATCGTCAGATCTGTCTGCCATGACAGAACATGTTCTGCGTGGTCATGCCTTTCAATAAATTCTTTGTTACTTACATCCATTCAATCAGTTCTGGTGGGAGTGGACTTAATTTGAGGGTTGATGGGTACTCAGTATTCCACCATTTGAGCTCTCACACTAATAAATACATCACTCTCATCAATAACTAAGGGACACAAAAATTATCAGTACTATATAGAATGTAACAACCATTTCCTCCAAGAATTGGAACAGGGCACCCAAAATGCTGCCGTGCCTGAGTGCAATTCTTATCACTTTGATCCACCTTTCTCTACATGCTGGCCACATAAGCAGGCTCTGGCCCAAAAATTCCATGTGTCAACCTCATTTAATATGGTGACGTTTTCTTGTAAGATCAATAAATATTCTATTACAAAATTCAACATAATTAATTGAATTGTTTAAAAGTAAACCATTTGGGATTAAATTCTCTCAAGAAAATTAGAGCAATCTGTAAATAGAATACACTGATTTCTACTTATGTTAAACTTGGAATGTCAGTTTGCTTTACTTTCTTTACACTTTAGACCCGATACAACAAGTGACATTAGCAAGCTCAGATGTATTGAGAACGACCAATTATTGGAATGGATTATTGGGGTTGAAAATTTACCAAGAGGACCCGGAGAAAGTGATCTTAGGCTACAGCGATAAAGATGTAAAATTGAAGTTTGTAAAAAGAGGTTTGTCCAAAGACGCAATAACCCACTGTCACTGTGTTATAATAACATTTATCATTTTCAGCTTCTGTCGTAAGGGAAAAGGCATACGGACGGATAGCATTCTCCATACCTGGCAATATGCAGAAAAAGCTAGAAGAAAGGATGAAAGAGACTAAAAACACGATTTTAACACCTTTGACCTCCCTGGACACACCTGGAAAAGCGACCGTCTCGGTTATCATTTTAGCGGATCCAGTCAGTTGATTAATAATTTTTTAATGTAAAAACTTGTACACTTATCTCTTTTTTTTACTAGGATGATCATGAGATATGCTTTGTTGACGATGAAAACTTCAGAAAGCTATCTGAATACGATCCGGAGAGTAATGGCATGCTCAACCGTTACATAATGAAAGACAAATCCATGGCTAAATGAAATAACATTTTTAGCCTGCCTATGAAATTTTTTTTTTGGAAATTAAATGTTTAACAATATACAATATTGTTTTATTACTGTTACATTTTTTTAGAAGATTAAGGAAATATAGTGTGATAACAATTTGTAATTAAAATTATTATAAATAAATATATAATATTTTAACCAAATATTTACATACATCTGGTAACTGATTTAAAAATTTAATTAATTACTAATTACACAGAAGTTTTTCCAAGATGTCTGTGTGTGCACATTCATTGTTTGATTCTTATTCAGTTTGATATTCAATCAATTCAGAATACTTTGGTCCGCTTAACAATACATGATAATTACACCCCCAATTTTTGCTGTAAAATCAAAAACGAAGATTTTTTGCCTAAGTTTTTTTTAATAAATTTAGAAATACAATTACAAAATAAAGTAATTCTAGATCAAACTAATACTAACATATTTTGTTTTATACAATATTTACAAAAAGCTTCTATCATTTCAGTTGAAGTCTGTACTTAAATAAAGTAATTGTTAAATGTGGTCTTCTTCTATTTTAATGTTATGATGCTGCTGAGTAATCTGCTTTGTAGGTATTGATTGAATAATCTGAAAATTAAAAACAATTATAAATATATTTATAATAAGGCGCCAAACTGAAATGTAATATTAGTTTGAATTATTTGTGGACAGAATTCAAACAGATTTGTTTGACTAATATAAATATATATATTTTTTTAAATAGTAAAAATAAAAGTTAGTAAAGAAAGGGATAAGGAAGTAGGAAGAGTGTAATTACATGAAATGGTGAGATATATTACATATTGTCTTGAGAGGATTTTAAAGGAATCTTTGGACAAACACCTCATTAAAGGATGGAGAAGCAGTCTTGGTTAAGCGTAACATGGTCTGAAAAGCAAATGTGGAAAATTAATTACATCGTTTATACGAGCAAAGAAAATTGTAAATTTTATGTAAATCCTAATTTTACCTGAGTTGGTGAAGGCGAAGATGGCTGTCGTGAGACAATGACAAATTTCTGCGAGTTGCCAGTTGCAACGTTCGGTATGTGCGGCTGGTTGGAGTTGCCAACTACTATTGTCCTTGCTGGTGGTTGGTGCGCCAGGAGTAAGTCGTTCCCACCTGCTTTGTGGACAATTTTTAAGAGTTTTAGTTTTAAGATAAAATTCGATTATTTTAAAAATAAAATAAAAAAGTTTGATGAAAATGCCTACTTGATTGTATTATCGTCGGCTGGTTCACTGTTAATGGTTGAGCCGGGTTTGAAGACATCCTCGCTTTAACTACTGCAGAATGTAAAATTGATCCTAATGAACCAAATTCCGCTTTGTATTCTTCATAGTTGTCGGGAGGGCTTCTTGTTGATTTGAGAATGGGTGTTAGCAATTTCTGAAAATTATATAACTGTTATAAAGTCTTGTAAATACAATCAAATTTCCGATAAGCAGTCACCAACATGGAATTGGATTTGACCCACATACAAAAATAAAAAATTAGAAATTGTAAGACAGTGGACAGTCACACAAAGATCGTCAGACAGACCAAGTCAGCAAAGATAAGCAGAACGGTAATGAACAAATTTTACAAAAAATATGAGGCACATCACATAAAAGTAAAAAATTAAATTTGAATGAAAGTAATACTGTAATAAATACTAATTTAGACAAGAATGAGTGAAATTTTTTAAACTATGGTTTATAATTAATACTAAGGTTAATTATTTTAAAAAATTCAGTTACAGGTCAACATCCTTATATGCTACCACATTCAACATGCTAAAAAAGTGTGATACTGAAAGAATAAAAACTAACAAAACAAGCTCGCTTAAATTATATGTATGTAGCCTTCTATGTCAAATTGTTTCCTAAAAACCTGTCAACATTTTGGATAGGCCATTATAATTTTTTGCTATAATTTATTGTAAAAATTGAGTGCCATGAAGACATATAATACTTACGACTAATAAACTCTTGATATGCGTAACAGCAATTTTTTCACTTCTGTTAAAAGGTTCGATCCTCTCTAAGAGGTTTTTGACTTTGGGCAAGATGAAAATTTTCACGACATCACTTCCTAGCTCGTTCAAACCGACGATAGCACCGTACAATGATGAAAGCGGCGTTTTATCATTGCTTAATGCCGAAGCAAACATTCTTGTTATCCTCGTCTGTATGTTGTTTGTCGACGTGTTGAAATTCTTGCAGATTTGCGACATCAGTTTGGCCGCAAAGTCCCTCAAAGCCCAATGGTTGTCCAGCTCCATCCTGGACATCTGTTTGCTCACTATGCAAGTCACTACTGATGGTATCAACTCATGAAGCTGTATAAATTAAAAATATATTAAACAATTTACAATAATTGGGAAAAAGGCAATTTAAAAAAAAAAGTGTTACTTACATATTTTTCTAAATAAAGTGACTGGTTTTCTAATATAGCCTTGACCATTCTCATGAGGTAGATGAGGAGAGCTAAATTATGCTGAACTACGTTGACCTTAACGCCTTCACTGATAAATGTACACATTCTAGGAAGCATTTCATGGAGACCGGGATCAGAGGCCAAACTTTGGAGTGCTTCCTGAAAGTGACTCAAAGCGTCAGTTTGTGTATTGTGCAGAGGGAGAGAAAGAAACTTACTGCTCTCCTGGCCTCATCAGACCCGACGCACGCTTCGGTGATCTCTTTGTAGTAAAGCTGCTGCTCTACAGAGAGTTCGTGCGTGGCCAGCTGCTTGACATGAACAGTCTCGACGTTACGCAGTTTATGGAATTTTCTGTAATGTAGTCAAATGTTTAGCAAGAGTAAAATTTGATAAAATTCTCATAACTTACCCGATGGTCGGCTTCCCGGACGTGTCGTTCTTTTCCAATGATGATTTATTGAGTTTCGATATGGGGTCAATGGCCTCGACTTTCTGCATCTCTTTAGAGACGGGCGGTGGATTCTCTGGGATGGTCGGCTGCACTCCATCAATGCAAAGCCAATGCGCTTTAAAAGTACTAAAGTTAAAAATGCTTATAAATTGCATATATTCATAAAAAATTACACAGATTTTCTCATTCTTCCTATATGTTCTTACAATTTCTGTTAGTAATGCCAAATGATTTATGTGTCAATGTAGTAAAATAAACTATCAATACCTCTAATGGAAACCTCGAGTGGCAATTTGATCGGTGGGCCAGTAATCAGTTCAGACAAATCTATTTCTTTTTCATCGTTGAAGTACAACTCCCTCCCACCACCAGATGCAAATCTGAACGGAATGTGGTCATTTGAATAGAACCCATACAAAGGCTGGAACCAAAAGCACAGGTTGTTTATACTATATTAAAAATACAATGGAAATAAATTATTAACCTCGATATTCTTAATTTTGAGCGCATGATCCACATCCGAGGTCATCATTTTTTGACGTTTTGCATGGTGCATAAATTTTGCGGCATCCTGAAATATTAAAAAAGTATATTCAATATAAAATATAGTACAATATTTTTGAGTTTTTGTATATTTTTTTAAAAATAGTGTATAACGGGATGGTAATCGCCCTAAATGTTATGTCACCACACAACTTTATGGAAACTTGTTAAATTTCCCAAAGTTTGAATGACTTTTGATGTTGAAAGAATAATACAGCAATAACCCTAGAGTAACCGTTTTGTTCCAATTAGCTACTTTCCAAAGTTATTGACATTTTATTCATATATACGTTCTGTTTGGACTAGGATGAATAAATAGTTTATATTATCAGAAACAGTCAATGTATGAAAAAAGTCATAAAATTAGAAAATAAGAAAAAAACAAATCTTGGCGTTTTGCTCCAAAATGCCATTTTGCAAAGTTATGGACATTTTATTCATAATAGATGTTCTATTAATCTAGTCTAGGGTGAATACAAAGTTTATATCATAGGAAATGGTAAACAAATGTAAAAAGTGATGAACTTAGAAAATGAGAAAAACCGAACTCTTGGCGTTTTGCCCCAAATTGCCATTTTGCAAAGTTATCGACATTTTACTCATATTATACGTTCCATTTGTCAAAACTCAAATGTAATTGTTGAGAATATTTCTTTTTTTTTTAATAATTACACCAGAGAAGAATTACACTTAATGCCCAAACCAATCAACTTCATACTTGAACAAATTCTAAAAATATCCAAGCCTTTCTAATTTGGTTTACAGGGAATAAAGGAATGCTAATGGGATAGAAGATAAACATACATCAGCAAAATGTGAAGGGTCTAGGCCTGTATAAGATATCAAAAGCAGAACATCGTCAGGAAGAAACAACAGCCTTAATTATTTGAAGATATCAGGCCCTTTAAAACGTCCCTCATTTTTTCTTTTTGTCTTAGGTGTTTTTGTTATTAGTTCGATATTAATGTCAACCTTTACTACGTTAAACACACTTAATAAAGATGATATTAAACTCAAATCCAGTTAAAAGTGATATGGCTTGGTGCTGAAACCCAAATTCACTCATTTTCTTTTATGAATAGACTAGCATTTGCCTGCGTCTTCGTCCATGCTGGGCTCTATTTTAATGCACCTTTCTAATGCAATGCAGAGTGCTATTATGGCTTTATAATATAATGTGCTGTTTCTCAAGTTTTTTTCTTCTACAGTTCACTTCGGTCTGCACATGGTAAAAAAATTGTCAATATGATCAATCCCTTTTGAGATGGAATTCCAAAAAAATCCTTTCTTAGCGGCTATCCATGTCATTAAGGAAATTTCAGCAATTTAGATCCAGCGGTTTGGTACTGTGTAATGTTTGTCAGTCGGTCACAGAATTTTTTTTATATATGTAGATAGAATATAGGGATGAAAATTCAAAAAAATGCTTTCTTAGCGGCTATCCATGTCATTATGGGAATTCCCCTTTCGAAATTTCAGCCCTTTAGATACAGCGGTTTGGTCTGTGCGTTGTCGGACAGTCAGTTATGGAACTGTTTTATATAATAGATTTAAAAGCAACAGGCTGTTCACAAAATATGCTCAGTGTTTGGTAATAATGCCCTCTCTCTAGAAAGAAGAATTTTCTTTTTGAAAATTTCTTGAATGAGATGGAGCCTGTTGAGAAAGACCAGACAGATGTTGGCCTGGTGTACAATAAGCCAAAATAAGCCTTCACACAGCAGTTGAGAGTCAACCAGGCAAGTTTAATCAACTAAACCGCCTCGAAACAGGGCTTATTGTCCAATATAACACTAATAAATTTTTATGTGTGGTTACCGTTAGTCAATGATTATTCAGAGACTGTGAGATGCGGTCTGGTTTTGGTTACGGGGACGTAGGTTTTTAGAAAAACATTTTCTTTATCGTGCCAACGTTTCGATCTTTATTGAGATCATCTTCAGGGCCTGGGATTTGTAAAAATTGTGTGAATTTTACAAATTCATGTAGGATGTGGAAAAAAGTAGAAATAATCAATAAATTTTAAATTAACCATGGCAAAGAACGTACGGAATTAGAAACTAACACAAGGTACGCCAGAAAAAATGCTTAAAAAAAATTTTGAACAGTGGTTCTGACATGAAGAGGCCACAGCTAAAGTAAACGGATTTATAACATTGCACAAATTCTGCCAGAACTCACATCCACTGTAACCGCAGCCTTGAGTGGAAAAATTGTATAAACCGATGAAGCCTGTCGATTTTTTCTTTTTTTGGTAGAGAGTATTTGAAACTAATGATATTTAAATAAATGGAAAATAATATTTTCTATACTAATTATTTTATTTCTTATGGGGACATTCTGGAGGACCTGGTATGTTTTTAGTTCAGTAAATCAATTTCTTTCAGGCTGATAATTTTATAAATTGAATTAGTACTGTGTATGTTTTTATATATATTTTTTTATTGGTATATTGACTCGTTGGACCAACCAAACGACTAGTAAGAGAATTTGCAATGAACATAGCTTGTGTCTTACTGGAAGGTGGGTCATGAATTCTTTGCCGGGGCTTTACCTGAATGACGTGTTTGAGCCTGAATGAGATGTCGTCCGCGAGTTCCTTGGCCGCTTCGTCAGAGAGGGTGCTGATGCCGATGCTCTCGGCGACCACTTTCACGGATTCGAGCGGTATGTTTGAGCCGACGTTCGTCTCGGCGAGCGAGGAGCTCATCTCGGCCGAGGGCGAGACCGCAGCCCGACGAGTGAAAATAGAAAGAGAAAGAAAATAGAGAAGAAAAACAAATAAATAAACCAAGCCGGCTTTGAGACGAGCCCAGTCGGACACTCGTCGTAAGACACGGGCGAGAAACAGTCTCGACTCTCAGACACCCGTTTCCAAACAAACCAGTCTTGCCATCATTTCATCATTCCCTCGATAATTTTCCTCTTCCATTGAAAAATGTCCTTCACCGGATCTCTACTCGATAAAGAGCGGATATTCAAAAGAAAAATCGTCCTTACGCAAAACAGACTATTTAGACGTTCATTTTTGTCACAAAACTGGTCGTCGTATCGCAGATTTTCGATAGAAGCACACCTTTCAAAAAAAAAAAAAATTCTCTATCCACATAATATTCAGCCAGCTCTAGAAAGCCGACTGTGACATAAATATTAAAATAATTTTTTTTCCTCTTTTTTATGTAAACCAATTTCAAAAATCGCTTACGAGACAAAAACAACAACGCTCAAAGGACCATACCAAAATTCCTTCAAAGAAAATTCCCTTCTCAAACGTTAACCCCCCTCAACTATATTACAAACATAATATTTGTATATTATGTTCAGAATAAAATACAACGATATTATAAGAAAGTATATCAAAAATAAAACAGTAACGAGCCATAAAATTTATTTAAGAAGTTTTGTTATTATTTTGAAGTTTTGTTTCAGGTTTAAATGATAAGTTAACCTATATGCCCTATTGACATTTGTTATAGTTTTCATTTATTTTATAATTAAATTTCCCAGATAGCATGTATAAAATGTACGAATAATAGATAATAATAAAAAATAATGTATAAAAATGTACGAAAACTTTTATAGATCATTATCTAGATGTTAAATTTTCAGTTTTCTCTTGAGGTATTTATTTATTTATTTACGGATTGAAATTCACTATAAAAAGACATTTTACAATAACAAAAAATAAAAATAATATATACAAAAAAAATAAGGACATATATACATGGTAATATTATAAATGGTAAATAGAAATGATAAATATAAAAATACAATTAAAGAGTAAAAACTGAACAACAACAAAAATAAAAGACATAATTATTAAGTAAATTGAGGCAAAGGAAACAAAATAAAGCTAAAAGACAATTGAAACTATAATATTTACGTTCATATTTAATGAAAATAATGCTCTTCGTAGATATATAGTAAGACTTTAGTGCAAGATTTAAAAGAACGAGTAAATGAAATAAATTGTAATAAACTTTTAACAGTATGAAATATAAAAGTATTTAAAAAATATAAACTGATAAAATTTAACTAAAGTAGGGTTATAGGATATGGTTTTTCACAGAACTATTGCAGATGTTACTCTTGATCATCATTCGGCGTAGAGAAGAGAGTATGTAGTTAGAGCTTTGGAATTCAATATAAAATAGTTTGTGGGTTTTGAGATAGTGCGAAGAGACGTGTAGCTGTAGCTGAAAGAGGAGAGAAGGACTATCAATGAGATTGTTTAATAATTTAAATACAAAAACAATATCAAAGTAATCCCTTCTTTGTGACAGTATGAAAAGTTTAAATTCAGAGCGGATTCCAGAGTAGGCAGAGTTCGGAGTTAGATTGAGTTTGTAAGAAAGTTTTTTTTTTTTTTAATTTGTTTTGTATAGATTGAAGAATTTTTTGATGATTTAGATAGTATGGGTTCCAAACAGGTGTAGCGTATTTTAGTAAGGGTTGTAGAAAAGCTTTATAGATATGGACAAAACATTGAGGATTTTTAAATTCAAGGTATGTGCCCTATTGACATTTGTTGTTGTTTGTATTTATTCTTTAATTAAATTTTCCAGATAACTTGTATAAAATGTATGTATAATAAAAATATTGTATAAAAATGTATAAATCATTATCTATTTGTTAAATTCTCATATTTTCCCTTGAGGTCTGTGCCCAATTGACGTTTGTCGTTGTTTTTATTTACTAATTAAATTTTCTAGATAACTTGAACTTTTCTAATCTAAATAACTTCTAGATAATGTATCACTAATAGTGTAAAATGTATGAATAATACAGTATAATAAAAATAATGTATATAAATAAATCAAAAGTTTTATACATCATTATCTAGATGTTGAATTCTCAGATTTCCTCTTGAGGTTTGGGTCCTATCAACATTTTTTTTTAAATTGTATAATTAAATTTTCCAGATAGCATGTATAAAATGTACAAATAACAGAGTATAATAAAAATAATATCTGAAAATAAATCAAAAGTTTTATACGTTATTATCTAGATGTTGAATTCTCAGATTCCTCTTGACATTTGTGTTCTATTGACTTTTTTATATTTTTATTTTAAAAATTAAATGATAAATATGACAACATCCATGAATGTTCTGAACTTAGCAATGATCACACTGATGCGTACTATTTTATGTTTCCGGTAAGAAAATAAATATGAGAGAATGATAAAAATATTGTTTGTGTAAAAGGTTTTATGTTGTTATTAACTTGCTTTACAATCAATCGCAACATGCATAAACTCAATGTACCATGGAAAATAATAAAAATCTAATTATACAAAGTAAGTATAAAGAACAGTATATTTTATATACTTATCTTGAATGCAGTCGTACTTGCATTCAATTTCAATTTCAAAGAATGTGCATACAGTGTTGTTCTGTTGTGCAATAATTAAAATTTTTCGGGAGTGATGGCTGCTAGTCTAACTAATCTTCTACCTAAGATTTAGTGTCTACCTAACATTAACCTAACATCTAACTAATCATCCTGGTCTGCCCTGAAGTTTACAAATTCCTGTAAACTGATGGGAAAAGGTAGGCCAGGATGATCGGAGAGAGCTAATATATAATATTAAGTTATTTAATATATAAACAATAACTTAAAGTCAAAAGTAATAATGTCAACATATTTTTAATGTTAATCAATTTGTTTTATATGATCCTCTTCCTCAAATGTATCTTCATCGACTAACAATTCTTCGTGTTCTTCGGATCCCCATAAATTACTTCCAAATTTTAATAATGCAGACGGCCTTTCTTCTTCCTCCTCATCAATCTGTTCTCCAAAATACATTTGATCTTCCTCATCCAATCTCGGTTCTTCTTCGACATCCGATATGATTTGTTCTACGGTTGCACGGTGTTTCTGGTGCTTTTTTGATTTTTTAGTATCTGGTTTTAATTTCCTCGGCTTCTTGGGCTTTGGAACAGGTTCTTCAATAATTTCCTGGACATGCTCCGGTAATGCACTTTCGTCCATGACATAAGTGTCTTGGGGTGCTTCCTTTATCATCGGGAGCGGTCTCCGGATCACCTGCGCTATGTGCCTCCCAGGTGGTGGCCCTTCAAAATGTTCGACAAAAGGTTGGTCTTTGTCAACTTCTATTTTTGTATTTAGAGTCGCTTTCCAATCGTCTTCAGGTATACTCGGAGGAGACGAACCAGGCGAAGGTATAGACTCTCCTGAGTAAATAATTTCATCTTGAGAGCTTAAATCACTATAATCCATAAAATCATATTCATCGTCGTCTCCTTCTTCTACCTCTGGAATTGATATTTTCGAACCTTTGCCTGCTATTATCCGTCTTACTGTTTTAATATCTTTTACAGACTTTTCTTGCATCCTTCGTTGCCAGGCTTCATACTTATTTTCTTTCTCTATCTGTCCTTCTTCTTCTCCTTCTTCTTCCATGTCCACCTCATCCTCAACTGGCACTTCTTCACTCACAATGTCTGCATCCGACATCAACTGAATGACACTGTCTTCTGTCCCTTTTGTTACATGAGATATAACAGATCCTTTTATCGTTTCAGAAGACGAAATTCTTAAATTGCTCGAAATGTGGCTCATGAACGACGCAGACACACTTTCTCCTAATTTTTTGTACAATGACAAACCTTTTATCCTTTTCTTTTTTTTCTTTTTCTTTTCAAATTGTATAGCATGCTCCTTAGCGAACATTTTATTAATATTTTCTATTTCTGAGAGAAAGTCGAGGTCAAGAGAACAACTTTCATTAACTTCGAATTTAGCAAATGTATAAGACTTTCCTCCTATAAATGGCAAATCTTCACGTTCCTCTTCACTATTTTCAATGGGTTCAAATATGCGTTCATTCTCATTGGTTGGACGAAAGTCAAAATCCCATAGAGGATCATACTGCTGGCCATAAACACCTCTCAACTGTTTCAAATTGGCCACTCTCTTCTTGTATTTCTTTATCGTATATTTTGATTTATGGTTCTCCCATTGTCGAAATGAAAGGCCATTTGCTTCTAATTCATTCTTTACTATCTCCCTCAGCCACCTGCACATTTTGATCATTAGAAATAATTTTACAATTTGAAAGAAAAAATCCGGGAACTTACCTGTTTCTAGGATCCCTCCACCTTCTTCTATCATTGAACACTTCGCGGCTCGGTTTGCATTTTTCAACAAGCTCTGTGAATGGCAATTTATCATCTAGGTCTATTTTAACAGAAATCGCCTCATCGTATTCCTTTTCCATTTCTCTCCCGTTGGGACCGAAATATAGTTCAATTTCATTGAGAGTATCTGTCACATCGAATGCTTCCTCTTGGCCGATACGTAATGATATTTGTGAAGCTTTTTTCTATAAGAGAAGGACAAAATTACAACATTATTATTATTATTATTATTTTATATATATATATTTTATATACCGAATGTTCAGGATCGACGAATATTTCTTTAGCAGCAGTTTGGAATATTTTGTCAGCTTCTCCTAACATCTCGAGAACTTTTTCTTCTTTGATTTTAAGTCGAGTGTCCTTCCTGACCAATGGTAGCATCTGTTCTCTTAACGTCTCTAGATTAACACATTTGTTTGCTAAAATTGTCTAAAACAGAAACATTTCAAAATGAGACAAAAGTTTTTTAACGAAAGATAGACAAAATGTTAAAATTATGAAATTTGGCTATGAAATTTTCCGTTTTGTTTAATTGTAGTCAAAATTTTCAAACAAAAGTCCCTGATTATTAGGAAGGAATTTATTTACAAATTAGATTATGAAACACATCTTCACGAATAATTAACTATTTTTTAAACTGCTTATAAAAAATATATTTTTCTTAACTTGTTGATAATACTTTCATCAGATTTACAATTTACAACCGTTTTACATTTATAAATTTGATTGCTGTTTCTAATAATTTCAATCATCTAGGTATCAAACTTAATTATATCTTACATTGACAACGTGGTCTTGTTCTTGAGTCTGCCTTTTTTGTTCCATGGCGACAACCCAAGGCGGAGTTCTTCGACGCCTTCTAAGATACCATCTTCAAAACAAACCCAAATATTTATATTAAAAAGCCAAAAGATATAAAAATTGAATATTTACTTATATAATTCTTGGTAATATTTCTTGCAATCCTTCTTTTCATCTTCACCATATGAAATTCCGGCGACTTTCTTCTTAGTTGTGACTTTTGCTTTAGAGTCGGTCGTTTCTCTTTGAGCGAATCTTGATACGTGCATACTTCTCCAGGTCTCGGCCCACTTCAGCAGGGCTTCTCGTCTTGGAGGTTCTCTCAGTATTATTTCATTGAGTTTGTCCAGCTAAAAACGAAAGGTTTGAGTGGAAAAAAAATCAAAGACAATTAATTTAAAATATGATTAAGCACCTCGGATTTCTTCCAAAGTTGGTAGAACCATGGAATGTAAAGTAGAATAAATGAGGCCTTGCTGTCAAGAATACCAAGCAGACCTTTGGGTAATTTGAGCAGTGCTGAGGAAAAACCTTTAAAACAAAAAAGAAACACTTTTTTTAAGGCACATTCTGAATAAAGACTCTGGTTAAACCATTTACCAGATTGATTGACACAAAAGTAAGATTCTAATAAGAAAATGTTTAAAAAATGTGATTTGACTCAATGTGAAAAATACAAGAAATATAATAGATGTGTACAAAAAAAAAACATACAAATGATTCTTTCTCCAGAAGCTGGAATTAAAATTTTCGGTTCGTGACTTTGGAGTATGAGATCCCAGATTTCAACGAATCCGTCTGACCGACCGATTCTATACAAGCTCGGTCTCAGCGGTGACCAAGAGCAACAGCTCACGGTCAAACCGTAATACCTTTTCCACATAATCGGCCAAGTCTGTGGAGAATATCAGAGTCAGCGATAAAACTAATTTAAATTAAACTATTAATTAAATTAATATTAATTAAAAATAATTACACACCATATCTCTTGTGTTCCAGATAGCATATATGTGGCCTCCGGTTGATATCGCGATGTTATCGATGAAAGGATGTCGAGCAACTCCAGTGATCGGTCCGTCATGAATTGCAGCAAACGTCTTGACAATAGTTACTGGAATGTAAAAATATGCAAATGTTAAAAATATATTTAAGTGTGATTGGCATATATGGCAGCACATTTTGTGAATGGGAAGATAAAGTAATATTAATTGGAAATCATTATATATTTTTTTATTTTTTTTAACTTACCATACTACAATAAATTGATTTTACCTTCTGGAGATTTATCTATTTCTCCCATGACACCTTTTCCTTTCCATTCTGCAAAGCCTACTGATCCGGTCATCGTTCCAACAAAAGCGTTTTGAGAAATGGTTGTCTCTTCTTCGTAATTTAGCTCTGAAAATGAGAATAAAGTTAACGTAGTGTCACGTATTTATTAAAAATGTAATGCTGATGACTCACTGAGTTTATACTCTATTATATCCCCCATTTTGTCTTTCCCGTGAGGATTCGGTGGTGTGACTCTTTCAAACTGTAACCGCCTCGGTTCAAACTGGATACTTGTTATTTGTAGTGGTAAATTATTCGGTGAATTACATAAGATCTAAAAAACAAACAAAAAACACCCAGGATAAACTATGCACTTTCTTTTACAAGATTTTAATTTGTCAAAAAAAAATTACTGAATATTTGGATGGCCATCTCTTGTTGAATTCAGCCAATACTGATTTGTCTTTTGTCAGAGCTGCAGGTTTATGGAATTGATTCCGTATGCCGACCAATCTTTCGATGTATCTTGTCGTACCTTTCGCCCTTGGTGTAATGTTCAAATCCCAAAATTTGATTTCTCCATCCAAAGAAGTGGATATTATCTGTGATGAATAATTCTGGTCTTCTTTAAGGGGTGAAAAAGCACCATTGTTGAACTGAAATTTTAAAAAAGAATTTTAAAATTTAATAAAATCCACCCATCTAATAAATTTTATATAATCACCTCGTAATTAGGCGGGAGCCATTCAATGTTAATAACTTTAGAACGATGCGAATCTGACAATGAGGTGATGGCAGCATACTTTATCCATTTTGGTACTTGCAAATCTTTGAACCATGACATTTTCCTTTTCTAAAAAAACAAACAATGTAATGACAATGATTTATTAATCACTAGAGCATTTTGACAGGCCTTACCAAAACTCTATATGTTGTTTTTTCCCCAGTGTCCCTTAAAATTGATGTGGTAGTCGGTGGAAGTTTACCTTGCAAATCCCATAGAACAAGCTGTCCTGTTATCGTCCCTCCTATAATTATGTCTCCGTTATGAGGGCAGAAATTAATACTGTGAACTTCTTGTGGGCAGTCAAGATGTAGCTGTAATATATCGTTTTTTAATTTTCAATGTTAAATATGTAAATTTCTTTAATAGTTTTTACAATCGCTTTTAGATCATTTGCAAGCCACCAAATCAGGATCGGGTGTTCTGAGCTTAAGAAATTGACAGCATTTTTCTTCTCATCATCCTCATCGTCAGTGATTTCTCTGTATATGTCTTTTTTCTTTTTCTTTTTCCTTACTGCACCAGATTGATCTGACCTGAAATGCAATGCACATTCATGAGGCATCATGTATCATTATTTAAAAGTGTTTAGCCTATTCAACTACAAGAAAAAAGTTGTATGCTAGTTGTCAATATTACAACGGGAAGATATTACCAATTTAATGAAACTTTTCTTGATGATACACTTGATGATACTACACTTACTTCTTGATGATAAGTCAAAAAATATTAGACATTAGTGTCTAAGCACTCTTGCCAGTGGGCTGTAGGGACCGAAAAATATTTTCGCTCATTTAAGTAATTTTTTAAATATGTTCTGCCTTTATGCAAGTATTGCAAAGTTAATTAGGATAGAAAAATAATAACCAGGATTATTAAGTGAGATTAAATACATAATAAATCCAAAAACAAATATGAAACTAGTAAAGTATGTAAAAACTAATTTTTTTAAAAAGAACAAATCAGTTTAGATTTTAGCAGTATTTAATACCCTTAAATACACATTTTCACTCAATTATGTATTTTAAACTAAGCTAAGTTGCTCGGTCGCTACATGAAATCGTATTTGGTAAAAAGCCGTAGCATGGGCATTGTAGATATTGAAATATGTATTTTTAGACTGAGCAATGTAGCTAATTAGGTTAAAATGCATTTTTAATCCAAAACAAATTTGATTTTCATTTTTTGCACACCCCAAAATGCCTCAATATAATTTTTTAGAAAAATGAAGAAATATTTTTAAAAAAGTTTTCCCTTCTAAATTTCTCAGGATGATTTTTAACCACAAAAATGGCAATAATTTTAAAACCACTCCACCCATCTACTAGAAACTTTACAGAGGCTAAGAATTTATGAGCTAAACTTAACATCACAAATGTTGCCTTTGTAAATAAATTAAAGCCGGAGGTTTAAAATAAAACGTATGAGGTGTTTTTGTTGAATTCGTCTTTGCTTTTCTAATTTAGAATCACATAATATCTAGACTTTGTTGAAATTAAATTTACATAAAATCCAAAGGGGTTATGAATTTGTAAGAAGAACAACAGGACATTGGAGAGGGTAAAATGGCTCTGTTTAATTGAGCTAAAAACACCTTTTTCTGCCATATAAATTTGTATTTATTGGTTTTAAAAAGTGCTCAAAAACTACAAATGAATTTTTAAAATTTTTTATCATTTTTATCTACTTTGTTGGAAGCATTTTTTGGTTTTTGTAACTTTTCATACATCTAACCTTATTTAATACTGCAGACTACTTTTTACTGTTTTTTGACCTAGTATTATCACAAAAAGTTTCATTAAAATCGATCTACTCTTCTTTTAGCCCAATTTAAAATAAAATTAATAAATAACTACTGACTATATTTAAATATACCTAGATTCTTGGTCTCTTATTGAAGGTTGTGAAATTGATTTTAACTTCTTAATGGTTGAAGAATGTCTAGAAAACGAATCAAAATGATTTTGATTTTAAAGTTATTTGTCTAGAATTACCAACAACTTTTCACTTTCTTACTGTATTCGTGTTCGATTTGTGGCAGATGAAGCGCCAGAAAAGGATTGCGATTTTCGAATGGTTTTCGTTTCAACATGCTTTTCTGTCTTTCCTTTTCTAATAAATAAAAAATTAACATTTAATTACATTATGTAAGTAATATTTCAATTAGAGAAACCAAGCAATAGAGCTCTTGGTTAGCAGAGTAATTTGTTTTCATAACGTCAATTATAATTTACCAAAAAAAAAGTTGCAATGCAAAAGTTCATTTAAATTAAACAAAACGTCAAAAAGATTTTAGTTTTTGTTTAAATGAATTACTGTTTCTTACCTTCTAAAAAATGGGAAAAAAGACTTATTTCTGGGAGCGAGTATTACTTTCCCTATCTGCTTTTCAGCTTTTGCTATGTGTCTCCTGAAAATAAAAAAAGTTTTTTTATTTTTATTAGTATTTTATTTATAAACTAATAACGTAACTTTTACATGCTAAGGAAATAAATGAATAACTGACAAGATATTGTAGATATACAAATAACTGATTTGTTTTTGTATATTTTATTTTTGTTAAAAGTCAATCTTAATTATCAAATCATTAAGTTATAATTAGGTACTATAACCAGTACATTTATCATTACGTGCAATTAATACATTTTTTTTAAATAAAATGAACCCACTTGTGATATATGAGGGCTTCTTCTTTGATTCCCTCTCCGAATTTCCAGAATTTACCATCCCAAATGGTGTTAAAGGTTTTCATCTGCTCTGGGGTCGGAGGAAACTTCTCGAGATACTTGTATTTCTTTATTGACTCATCAAATCTATAAATAAAAAATAAAATAAAAAATCAACATTAATAATGCTTTAAACGATTGAGTTAAAATTTTACCTTGTTTTTGTATTAGGATTGACATCAACATGTTTGTTACCTAGCAAAATAGATGAGTTAGTGACAAGAAAATAGATTAAAATGTACATAATAATTCAAGAGTCTTACTACGTGCTTGGGCTTTCACCTAAAAAAAGTGTTCAGTTTAATTAGTAAACGATAAAGGTGGAAGAGATAAAAATCACTCACCCTTGCAATTATTTCCTCAGGGGTCGGATTGCCTTCAACAAATTTTGTATAATGAAAATCTTCGTCAAATTCTAAATCGTCAAGTTCGGGTATCGAATTTTCATGTTCAACCTCCATTTTTATAATCAACAGCCGCAAATCCTACAAAAATTTATTTCTTGTCAATACCGTTTATATATCGTATCAATATAAACCGTTTCGTATTACTTTTGAATGTTTCAAACAGCGCAACGAATGGATCGCCAATTTGTTCATACTGTCATCTTCCTTTCGTTTTCTGTATTTACGGTAATTCAGAACACTTTTCATCCAAGATTGAGCATGAACTATCTCACCGATTAGTTTCTTTTTTTCTACTTTCGGTTCAAATGATCTAGGAGCGACTGGTTTATATTCAAAGTCAGAATCGTCCGAGTTTGATTCTAAATATATTGATTCACAGAGCACTTCATTCCCATAAGAAACTGCAACGATTCCTAAAAAAAAAAACAGTATAATATTTATAAAAAAGTTTGAAACAGTTTATTACTTAGATTAATAATAATGAAATACTTAATGGATGGAATAATGGCTTTAATTTATTATGTTAAATACTATTTGAAATTGAACTCATCTATTCTATATCATTTTATGAGCTTGTGACATAAAATGTCACCTCTAATCCGGACAATTGTTGGCAATTTTAAAAAAACTGGAGAAGAATGAAATATGCAAAAATAAATAATTTACAGAATTAATATGAACATCTATCTTTTAACAAAACCATTTTTATTTCTATTTAAACAAATTACTACAAAACCTCGGATGATCTAAATATGTTTTCTACCTGAATATTTTGGATGCCAAGATGTGTCAGTGACATATTTGTTCCGATCACCTGTGATGTCGGCAAACATCACAAAATGTTTGTACTCGAGGAATGGATAAATCTGTAATAATTGGCCGCATTTGGCTAATTCTTCGTAGTCATTCTTGTACAGATCATATTCAGCATTGTACGTCAATGCATCCATGAGTCTAAAACAATTAAAATTGTCAAAAAGTTGTATTATTTTGTCTTTAATTTATTATATAGAAAAATTATACAACAATGAAGTAAAAGACTATTATAATTTAAATTAAAAAATAATAATATTCATTATTAAACAGGAAAACTTAGTCCGTTTTTCCAACTTTTATCATCCCCCTTTTGTTTGACCAGTCATTGAGACAGCAGTCAGTCATGTTACAAGGTATTAAGACGAACTTATTAACTGTGGATGATGATAGTTCTCTGGTACAAACTGGGGGTATCAGTTGGTCAGGCTCGTTTCAGCTTTAGTGTGGGTCTGTGAAATTACCTCAAAAGGAAAATACACAATGTCAGAAGTCTTTGTTGTCAGGTGAGACTTCAATCACCCAAACTTCGAGTTACACGCCTGATTTATTTCCATTCTAGTACACCTTCTTGTAATGTGCTTTTTCTACTCTCAAAGCTACCAAAGTGTCTTTGGCGAGATTCTTGGCCAAAACACATAAACCACCCAGCATAATAATGTTTTGCCGGCACAATGGCAACTTCCAATGCAATGCTAGGATTTAAACCCAGGAAGACTAGCTTCACTAATACAAGAATAGAAGGCTGTAACTACTCCTTTTTAGTGAGGCAAATTTATTACTTAATTAATTACTTATTACTTTGCATACATGATCTGAGGGTGTGAGTAAATTCTAATCCCAAATTGAACTGATTGTACAAAAAAAAAAATTGACTAATTATAAATGAGCTGTTACTAAGTCAATAGTAAATCACCTACTTTTTACAGCCCTTTTTAAACGAATCAGTTAACGCAATAGTAGTGATGGGCTCGTTTAATTTCTCTTCCTTTTCTTTGGCTTCTATTTCAGGGTTGAATTGAGTCGATGCGTTCATTGGTATTTCTGGTATCGTTTGAGCAAATGAATCCTTACATTCAGTTATAGTCTGAAAAAAAGAAAAATGAAAGAAAAAGAAGTATTTTGGTCAATTCATAATCAGCCACACTAGGCACACGCAATCACACAAATAATCAGAAAGTATGAAGTTAATAAGTAGAGCATTTAAATATTCGATATTCTTATTTGAAAACATAATAATAAAAATGGCAAAACTTCTACTTAAAAAACACATAAAAATTGAAAAATATCATACCTGAATACATTTATTTGAACAAAATGTCGGGATTTGTTCAAAAGTCGTTCTAGTATTTTTTATAAAAGCATAGTTATGTGGCGAAGTTCCAGCATCTACATTTACAAAATTGGGTGATACAAAACGGCAATGCTTCATTCCGAGGTATTCAAAACTGATCTGCAAAAAAAAATTGTTTATTAGAAATATTATTCTTAATATTTATAACAATTAATATTTAATACAAACTAAGGGTCTATTATTGTAAGCGATGTCTATCCCAATTTCAGCGGAGCTTCCCAAATCTACCCACGGTTTGGCATCCATGCCATTTGCCTTTTCAATGAATTTCATGTGGTTTTCATGTAAAAGTTTCAACTCTTCGATTATTTTATTTCTCCCTGTGTTCGTGATGCATACAAAAAAATTCTCATCATCAAGATTGCGAGTATCATAGCCGACCAGAACCTCTGGATCTTTCAGATTCTAAAAGAAAAATGAGTTTAGCAAACAAAGGCCAAATATTATTAATAATAATGACAGCAAGGAATACAAAACATACACTTTAAAAAACAGTTACTCAATTACTATTTTGCAATGATGTCTGCGGGTCGGTGAACTCATGATGAACAGGCAGTGTGTTACTTATTGGATCAATTCCTCACTGAAGATGGCACAATACCGAAACGCATGTGAATAGTTCAACAAACACAATGCTGGTTCAGCATGAGTATCTTTTACTTCTAATTTTGTCATGATAGTAATTGATTTCCATTTATTTAATGACTTTCAAATGTCATGTATTAAGTATGATAAAATTATTTCCTATATAAATTAGTAATCAATTAGACCAATAAATTTTAGTCAAGGAAAGTTCGATGGGAACGCTTACTTGCCCTGAACCCTTTTGTGGCATACCAAACTGCAAAAACCTATCAGCAGTATTGGTATTTCCACCGGGGGCCAGGTTTCATAGTCTTAGTAAAACCATAGCCAGCCAGACATGATGATAGGACTTGGGTATCATAAGGATGCCATTTCTCCCAAAATGGATCCCCAAAAAAAGAAAAAATCCATGGGTTATTCTGGGATTCGAACCCAGGGCAATGAGCATGGCAATATGAGTCATATTCTCTAACCACTCAGCCACTGCAGTCCCCTTACATTAAATGTATTGTCGTTAATAATTTTATTGTTATTTATTTTTTTATTTCCCCAGTCATACCATCTTTTTACCAAATGTGTTACTTTTCACTCCTATTTTTCCTAACTAAAAAATGTCCCAACAAACATACAAGAACATTAGTATAACATAATTTACAATAACAGAAAATGAAAAAAATTAATTTGAATATTCTGCAAATAATTAGTATTTTAGATTCATTTTGTCTTTACTAATTTTTATTTCAAATGATAGACTAGGATTATCATGACTAATAAACATTGAATAAAAAATGTATTAATTTTTTTTTGTAATATAATTTCATGTTGTGGATGTTTTAGGTGTTATTGGTATTCAATGCTAAATAATGTGAAAATTAATAAAAACAAAACAATATTTTATTGTTTTTTGTTCAGTGCCTTAGTTATTTCACATGTGTACACACAACAAATGTCACTTTTTGATTTTGGTTCAGAAATATGAGTAAAATTTTGTTTTATCTACACATACCTTCAGTTGGTTTTTGTACGAATTGAAAATGGACTCTTCCCCGTAGTCCAAAATCTCTTCCAAGACGGCATTTTTTGAGATTGTTTTCCATGGCTTGTCTATGAATATTTCTTTTCCTAAGACACAGGACAGTTGCTTCTGGATGTGGGACGGTACGTGTAGTAGCACAATATCTTCATTTTCAACTGCAAGTTTTATATATATATTTTATTAGTTATTAAGAAATTATCTTCTTCTACAGGAATTTTTGGTAAAGTGACTTACGCAATGTTTCAAACGTCTTCTCTATATCACATGGCTCGCCAGAGAAGCGTTTATATTTGAAGATGTCCATATCTCCTCTTCACTTATTAGGCAAGCTATCTACTGGACAGGCGGAACTTTTTATGAACTTGAAAGAGTGATAATTTTCAAAATAACAAATTGATAAAACAATGTTAACTATTGGTTTGAACAAGCAGATGATAAAAAATATATTTTCTAAAAATCTGTTTAAACTGTTACTATCATTAACATATTAACATGGTACACCTGAAACAATAAACAAAAAACGTATAATACATTGCATTAATAAGAAATGACAAGTTTAAGCAAAATGGCACCATTTTTCTTTAAGAAAAGAAATTTCTATGGATTATTTGTTTCATATTATTCTGGTCTGCCTATCGTTATTGTTTCAGTCAGATGCATTTTAGCGTTTCGCCAATGGCTGGTTTTGATCCACAAGTTCATTTATAAAGCCTCACCATTCTTATAATCCTGACCAACCACTGGAAACAATCGAACTACAGGTTCATCGCCTGATAGAACTCAAGGAAAAATTCAACTGTCTGTCATTTGGGTGGTAATTCTCTTTAAGAAAGTAATTCCCGTTATACTTCTATAATAATTCTATGCAATGATGCAATTCTTTTTTATATAGATCAACACAATTATTTTTGTGTCGGTGTTTGATCATTAAGATATTTGGTAGAAATCTTTACTTGGGGACTGCAGTTAACTTTCTATCTAGCAAAATTATACAAAAATGGGAAGAACAATATCACAGGAACTTATAAATAATAATATTTATTATTGAGGAAAACGGTTCATTTTTCCAACTTTCATCCTCTAAGATTTTGCTTAACCAGAAGTTGAGACAGCAGCAAGTTACAAGGAATCAAGATGATGTTCTTAAAGGTAGTTAATGATACTTCCTTGGTACGATAGGCAGAGACCATTAGGTGTCTTTGAGCAGTCTTCGATATGTTTAGACCTATATTTTGGTCTGTCAGATGCATTTCAGCATTGGTGTGGTTCTGTGAAATTATGAGGAAAAAATTGAGATCTCACTATGTCAGAAGTCTTGCTTCTCTCAAGAGCTGCCACAGTGTCTTTGGTGAGCTTCTTAAGGGGGTCTCACTGTTACTGTGAAAAGTGTTGTTCTTTGAAATAAGCTTGCAAAATTTAGAGTACAGTATACTTAAAAAAAATGTTACATTGAATTTGTAAGATATGACAATTTCAGTCAAAATGGCAACATTTCTTTTTAAATGAAGATATTCTTGTAGATTAGTTGTTCGAGATAATACTGCTTATCCTTATTGTTTCAGTCAGTTAAACTGTCAGATATTCACACTGGCTGGTGGTTTGTAATCAAATGTACATAATACGGTGCTTCACACTTCTTACACCCTGACCAACCATTGGAAATGGTCAACTACAAGTTCATCACCCAGCAGACCTCAAGGAAACATTCTTCATACAATTAGTTGTTGTATAAATGATTTTTTCTTTAATAAAGTAAGGTAATTCTTGGTTTAAATCCAGCTACCCAGTTGGGTGTCATAGACAATGAGTCAAACAACATTACTTTTTTCTGATTCAATTTCAAATAAAACTGTTTAACATTAATTTTTTTAAAATTTTTTAAATATCTCAAATTTTCTTAGATCAGTGCTATCCTTTGTGTGCTAGCGTTTTCTTATTACAGCCTTTCCTTATGATTAGAGCCTGGTCTTATATGCAATAAAAATCATCCAATATGTAATAATGTATGTACTAAAAAACCCCTCAAATATTCCATATAATTTGCAGTAAAAATATTAAAATATGCAGGATGAATGTCAATCACCCGTCTAATAATTAATTTTTTTTTAATCTACACATTTTTTGTCAGATAATTATGATTTTGAAAGGAAATAGAACAGAAAAATTTCAGTAACACACAAAATCATATAATTTAAAATATACAAAATCAATCATTAGGCTTAATTAAGTTCATGATCAGGATTAAAATTAACAATGCTATACATTTCAAAGTTAGTTTATGTAAAACTACAGTTTATTGCTAAAAACTATACCTTGGGGGAACAAAAATTCACTGTTAACAGAGGTGATGGGAGCATACTTGTAGGACATAAAATAATAGGATTGCCTAGATAACAACTTTATTGTTTCCATTTAAGATTTTATATTATTTTTTAATTTACCCCAATTCAGTCAAGTATATTTGTTATATTTCTTTTGTAACATAATTCTCGCATTGCTGAAGATTTCTGTTATGTGTTGAAAATAAAGAAGACATTGAAATTCCCATTTTTGAATTTTTTTAGGTTTTCTAGGTAGAAATATCAGCGAGGAGTTGAGGACTGACGCTGAGTATTTTTCTTTTTCCTTCCACAACCTGACTACTTCATAAAAATATTCAATATCATCTCAAATAAGATGCTGATTAATTCAAGATAAGTTGGGTTGTCTTTGTTCCTTTTAACCAAAAACAATAAAATTTTAGGCTTTTGTCTTTTCCCTCTAATGTTCTTAGTTTCATAGTTTATTTTCATTTTTCAAAATAATAAAAAATTTTCAAACACAATATTCTCCAAACATACAGAATGAAATTGTACCATGTTGGCATGATTTGGATAAATATGTTATCACTATAGTCATAAGGTTAGCAAAAAGGACATATAATTGCATACAAATCCATGCTCTACTTGAAATATATAATACTTGGGGATTGCAATGTTAAAGCATCCAGCTAATTACCACGCTAGCGTTTCAAACCCTGGCATAGCCATGACTCTCAACGTGAAGTTCACTTTAAGCCTCCTGTTTGACAGAAGTTACATTAATTGAACCTTACGAGAGGAAATAATGTGCATAAGAGGCTTATTTTAAAATCGTTTATTACTGCTGTAGTTGAAGAGCTTATAATTTATAATTATGTACTTTTGAAAGTTCACACGACCTATCTTATTATAATAATTTAGCCCAATCCACTTTTAAATACACAAAATATTCTTGTAAAATTAGTACAAATTAGCAAACTGTTGGCAAAACCTTCTATTATTCAAATTACAAACATGCTTATGTTTAAAAGTATAAATAATCCATCACAAGTTAATAATATAAACTAATAATTAAATAATTAAAAAACATGTATAATTTTCTTACTCAATTTTCAAGTTGATGGGGTAAACAAGCTACCTGGTAACCAAGGAATGACTGCATTGATTCTCTACAATATTCGTTCAAAAACAAATCTTGACCTAAGTTTATGACTTTAGAAAACTCAGTACAAAAATAAATGTATATAAATATCTAAGTTATTTTACAAAATTTAATTAAAATAAGTCTAAATCGTTATACAGAATGTGAAATTTTCTATTTCAATCAGAAACACCCAAATATAACTAAATTTCAAATTAATGGAGATTGAGATAGGTCAATAATCAAAAATGTCGTTATATTTACAAGAAATATGTTCACAATTCATTTTTCAGCTTTTTAGTAAATCCCCAGTCTTGTAATAACTCATTGCACTGTGTCCTAGTGAGCTCCCGGAGAGGAATCCTTTTCAACTCCTGAAATTTGTTTAAATAAAAAAATTAGTTAATCAGTATTATAAATTATTTTAATTGATTTATTGTTTTTTATGCAAAGTATGGTAGAGTTGGAAAATTAGTGACACAAGCAGGACTCGATCCCATGACCTCCGGGGTACTGATCCTGTACTCTTGACACTATATATATTACAAATGATATTCTATTGTTACCTTGTATTCCTCAGTAAAAAGGACCAGTTCTGGTGGAGCCCTTGGCGTATTTTTAAACACCACTCTTTCACTGTTAATGTAATAAAATATTCCTTCATTCTTAATGGTTTCAATTGAAAGTACAATAATTCTTTATTAGGCTAAGCCCCATTTTGAAAGTCTTGTGACTTATAGTTTAACCTTTCATATTCTTACATACTTAAATCTAAGTATTTGAACTGTATTCGCTTAATAATCAATAAAACTTTTTTTATTTTTTTATTTATTTATTTTTTTTTTATTTTGCATATTAGCCATGACGAATTCTTATATATGTTGTTCCAATTGGGGGTTATCGAGAAAAAAGGGCCAGAGGCGACGGTGGGAATCGAATAAAACTTTAGTGTGAAAGAAGAAAATCTCAAATAATTAAACACCAAAATTATGTTTGATTAAGTTTGTACATCAATAATGGCATATGACTAACATAATAAAAAGCTAAAATATTCTTGCAAACAAGAAAATTTATAAGCAATTAAATAACAGAACATTTTATAAGCATTTTTGCTTATTTTATAACAAATAACTATAATGTATGAAAAATAGAAACTAATTTGAAATGTGCAAAAAGGTTTTTAGAGGGACAATAAAATATCAATATTTCTGCCCACTTAAGTGAACATTAATGCAGCTTGGTTGCTTCCGATCAAATTTGGTTGTCTATTCTCTCTGTCAGACTTGTTTGTGACTTTTTGCCATCTTCAGTGATGGGTGCATGGTCACAATTTAATAATATTATGCTTCAACCTTCTTACACACTGACCAACCATTGAGATGACAAAATGTCAGAACACCTGTCATACCGAAATGATGACAAGGAGAAGTCTCACAACATAAATTAATTCTTAAAAAAGATATCCATGATTAACTTTGGTTTTTGACCAGTATAGTTGAAATTTTGAAAGGATACTACAATGGGACATCATCAAAAATGAAACTTTTGACATCAGGAAGATTCCGAAGAGAACAACCACTGCAACTCTGCAAACAATTACAATATTATAAATTTAAAAAAATCTGTATTATTACTTTTACATTTAACTATTTATGTAAAACTAATTTAACATATTTTTCATAAAGATTGGTTTATTCATTTTTCTTCCTTCAGAGAACCTTATAAGCTTATTTCAGGTCCTACAACAGTGTTGAAGTCATGGTTTGAACTCTGATATTTCTTTAAACAAAAAAAGCATTTAGAACTTTGCTGTTTTCTCTTAAAATTGAGTTTGAATGTTAAATTATGGTTCTTCATTCAATCCTATCCTCAATATTAAGAGGGCAAGACTGATTTTGTCTTGAAGTGGCCAGTGGACATCTGCCTTTCTGAGGCCTGTTCTGTTCAGGAAGCACAGGATGGCCTGTTTTTATGTCAATTTAATAAATATTTGATAGATTTTTGATTGAAGTGGCTAAAGAGCCATATTCTAAATACAAGTTATAGCTCATGACCTAAGTCCCTGCCTTCATACTTTTTATGAGCTTCCATTGCATATATAATGACTTTTTTGAAATTGATTTGTATAAGCTCAATTCTGCACATGGATATACATACATACATGGACTGAGCTTGTCACTCCTCATAGTCAACTGGCAATTTCAGCTTTTGCACTTTATAATAATGCAGGCATTGAGAATCACCAACTTCAGGGTCAGACCTCGGTCTTATTCGTCCAATCCCCCCTTACTATCCACTCTATTCTAAAGACGGAGGCAGCCAAAAAATAAATAAAAACACTCAATTAATTATACACAATTTTTTCAAAATAAAAAATTTGCGTCACAGGCGGGATATATGTATGTTCGTTTTGCCTAATGTACTGGACTTTAGAAAACAACTGAAATGTATACCAGTAGATGCAACACACAAATACTTCGGACCTTCTAACACAGGCGGGATTCGAACCCACAACTTTCAGCTAAATACCCTTACAATTGGAATAAACGGGGAGTCGAAACGGGAAGTTTGTGGCATGAGCGACCGAAGTGACAGTAGCTCAAGTGGTATTTAGCCACTATTTAGCTGAAAGTCGTGAGTTCGAATCCTGCCTGTGACATGTTTCATTTTAAAAAAAATGTGTATAATTAATTGAGTAATTATATAATTAGGAATAAGCTGATAAAAATAATTAAAAAGTTAGTAGAAATAAAAACATTTTAAACCATTTTTGGTTGTCTCTGTCTATAAAATAGAGTGGGTAGTAAGAGAAAAACATAAATTTTGATAATAACCTACTGAATAAAAATAAAAGTAACAATATTATCAAGATTTGATAATATAGTTTTTTATTTATTATACTTCTTAAATATATTCTTTCATATTTCAATAAATTCATTCAGTTAGGGTAGTTGGAATACTTGATACTCTTCCATCACCCTCCACACATATTATATAACTAACCTAATTGAGGGTTTGTGGGGTTCTCAATATTCTGCCAAGGCCATTGTGCTCTACACATTCACTTCAATAAATACATTCACTCTCACCATACATTAGGGACTCAAAACACTATCACACTACTTTATACAGTAAAACAAACATTCCCTTCAAGAATTAGAACAGGGGACCTAAATACTTGCTGCCATGCTCAAGTATAATTCTCATATCGGGTGGCATTCGTACTCTCAATCTGGAGCCACGGAATTGCACTTTTAAAATAGGCGGGACACATCAGGCAACTTTTCTTTGTAGGCTGGACACAGCAGCAATGAATGCAGGCTTTGGCCCAAAAGAGAGTGTCAACCTTGCATGGCCTATCCTTAATCAGTTGAGGATGACCCTTCTTCTATAAGTCAGGTCCTCCGAGGGCCACTTATCAACAGGGCTCCTGATACACAAGAGCTTCTCTGCCGACCTGCCCATAGGTACTACCACTTTCTTTTATGCATTTTTAGCATCACAGGGCCAGATCACGGTTAAATCCAGAGGTTTGGGATGCCTCAGCTGCCTCGTCTGCCTTTTCTTTACCTTCCAGATGTGTGACTAGGGACCTAGACAACATCACTGTTTGGCTGAGATGCTATAGTTCATGGATATTTTCAACAATAATACAATGAGAGGGTCAACAGAGGACCTGTCACGGAAAGCAGTGAGCAAGGGAGTCACCTCAAGCACATACCAAATATGGTCTTCTAATAAATTTTGGAATTTTTTTGTGGTCATTACCACTTTTTTTAAAACTTCATTATGGATACAGGAACTGGAGTTGGTCCCCCTAAGCACTGCAGCTTTCTAGCTTATATTATATTACTTCTTAGTCCATTTTGGGGGCTTGGAACAACAGGTGTGTAAATTGAGCCCCTGGTGTTCTTAAATCAAAGTCAATTAAAGAATGAATTTAGAGTTGCTGAGATCCAATCCCGCCCCGGACCTTCTATTGATGAGTGCCGACTTTCATTGTGGGACTAGTCAAGAGCCTGATGCTTAACCACTCATCCACTGAGTTGTGAAGTCGTGCATAATAGTCATGGTGTCCAAGGGAATATTGACGTTTCTATCTAAGTTGAGTTGTTTTTGCCATCATAAGTAGCTTATTATATGAGTTTATGTTCAACTGATTTAGATCTGTGGTAGGTAACACATCTTCACAGCAGCAATCAGTGTAATTCTCATGGCACCCAAAAAAAACTAAGAGTTTCATATATTTTTGACTGCATCATCGGACTGACCACTCATGTACAATGTTCAATGGTACATCCTGAATTGTTTGCCCTTGCTTGCAACATGAGTACAACTAATTTTGCCTTTTCCCTGGATATATGCAGAGGTGGTATGTCTAAGCCAGGTTTAGTTAGAATCGCAAGACTGGCCTATTTACACATAAATTTAAGTTATATATTAGTCAACCACAACGAACGAAAAATCAATCAACCATTCCTTTCAAAATAAAAACGTTCGTTTTTCTCGACTCGACACTTGAAATTATTTCAGAAAGGCAGGTTTTGTTCATTTTTACCTGAATTTCTGCTTTGGCGACCGCCTCGGTGATTTCAGAGTCGTAAGTTGACAATACCAAGACGACACAGGCAAATAATGTGCCCAGTTTAATAAAATGAATCATTTTTGTTTTATTCAGCCAAATTATGATTCAAAAGTATTGCAAATTAATCTAATTATATAAGAAATAAAGTATAAATGAAGCGACGACAAAAAGAAATGGAAGAAAACCGTTAACACGTCGCAAGTGATAAGGATAAAGGAACGTCCTTGCTAAAACATAAATACAAACTACAAAGTGATTAGAATCCTGCTACAAAGAGATACGTTGTTGGATCGATGGTTGGTCGACCATCGATGCCTTATTATGTAAGTGTAAGATATTTTAATTTTTAACTTTCTAAAATCTATACGTATATTTATTTATTTAAGGGGCTAGCCCACGTAAATGTAACAAAAGTAACAGTTTACAATGTAAACTAATATTTACACACACAAAAAATTATACAACGTCTAGAAATGCACTTTTATAAAATCTGGGAAAAATAAAAATTAAACTAATAACAAAAATAAAATATAATTAAAAATATAAGAAATTAACAATTTAATTAATTTGATAAAAGTAACAACTACAACAACGATGACAAAAATAATACTAATAATACAAAATAATAACGAAAAATATGCAGTAAAGGATTTTTACCAGTTCCCAAAGCTTTTTCAAGGACAACTGTATGTATCCTTCAGGCCTGGGCTTTTCCTGTCCCAGGGGGAGGAATTTTTGCCAATTTTGCTTCTTCCTGGCAATATCTGCACAGACAATTCTGCTGCTCTGAGTCTATACATATGCTTCTGGAGTCAGCAGAGCCAGTTAGCAGTCAAACTATTATTCTAGTCTTACACGTCTTAGGATTTACTAGTTCTGCCATTAGTTTCTGCAATGGTCCTTTGATGAACTTTTTCACATGCCTCTGTCCTGGGCTACATTCCCTTATTTTCAATACATAGTCTGATGAATCCACGTTTTTGGCTGTTTGGTACGCCACAAAAGTATTCTGGGCCAATAGGTGTCCTCATCGAATTTTACATGGCTAATTTATCGCCCTCTTTGTTGCCCCTCTCGTTCCCATATAAGGGCAATGTTGTCGTTTTCCCCAATGTTTGACAGGGCATTGATGCAATCTCAAACAACTCAGGACTTTACTACTGATGCAGTAATTGCACTCAGTGCAGCCAGGTCCGAGGTCAGAATAGATGGCTAACCTTTTTATAACAATACCTAGCCTTTTAATCTCCAATAGCCAATTTTCAACTGTTGTTGTTCAGTTGTTCAATAGCCACAGTCTCTGCTTGAAAGACAGTTTTCAGTATTAGAAATATCAACCATTTTTTCACTCAAAAACATTATATTGTTGTATTAGTAACAACTGAATTTGCTTTCTTCTTCAGGTCCATACCTTTATCCAGAGTGTTTGAAAGACAGTGGCATATTACCCAAGGTTTATATAAATTGTCCTTGGTGTTCATACATTAGCTAACTTACATTCATACTTTGCACATACACTCACAACATACACACAAACGTGTGGTGTTTAGTGACCGTTAGGCCAATGATTATTTGGAGATCATGAGATGCGGTCTAGTGTGACGTAGGTTTTACAATGTTAGAAACGTGGGCACTCTCAACATGGCACACAAGAATGACACATCTACACAGAAAACAAACACTTTGATCCCTGAAGATGATCTCAATAAAGATCGAAACGTTGGCATGATAAAGAAAATGTTTTTCTAAAACCTATGTCAACCAGACCGAATCTCACGATCTCCAAATAATCATACACACAAACAACACAAGCTTTACATACTCATTACTTTTAAAACAAATTTATAAAAATTTATAACTTCGAATTTTGTCTTAAACATTTATATAATTGACCTTAGGCTATACATATTCTCATATGAAATAATTTCTTGTTAAGTCACTATTCACTTTTAATATTTTCTTAATTGGAGTGATCTATTTTTTTAAATAAATTGCAGTTCAATTTTTGTGTATCTTTTTTTTTTCATATTTTTTCTTCATATTTTCATATTGTTAATACTTCAGTGTCAACGGCGCTTTACATGACTGATGAATTCCGGTCACAATTGCTTCTGTTGTTATATTCGGAGCAGCACACAAGTTGGTAAATATGTAAAGGTGTTTTCGCACATACAGATTCTGAAACATTAAAAGTTATATTATTCGTTGTTGCTGTTATTAAAAAAGAAAAAAGTTTACTTTTGTAACTGATAGACATTTAGACGAAAATGTTTCGATTACTCGCTTGTAACAGGGCATATTTTTAGTTCCTAGTGTAGATTTTGAATTGATTATTTTTATTCTTTGAACCCAATCTATCACAGTTGCTGCTAACACCCTATTAACTAAGGTCTGAATAGTTTTCCTCATCTGAAAATTATTTTTGATTAGTATGTACAGCTATTTGATTAAAAATTGATGTAATTGATCCTGCCTTTGAATACAGAAGAATCTTATGTTTTAACAAGTTCTTCTTTTTTTCATTTTTTTCGTGGTCGTATTTTTTTGATAGTGCAATTAGAGGCACATCGATGTTATCTGCGACATCCTGTAAAATTAATTTAAAGAGTTAGTTATTTAAAAAAGAAGAAATGGTTTGAACACTTGCATTTGGCGCTATGGATATATTTTCTTCTTGTAAGTTGCGTTCCATATGGAAACCAATGAATTCTCTTAATTTTGTGTTTCCTATGTCGATGTCACCATATTCTTCAACATGGCTTGTGTTTGTTAAGGTTCTCACTTTTTCAAACTGATGATTTATGTCTTCTATGCTGCCTTCCTATCACAAAATTAAGATTTATTATTTTTATAATCACACAATAAATCAGATGGGTTACTCGGCTAGAGTCGTTAAGCCACACTGAGGTGAAAACGTCAGATAAAAACGTCCCTATACTTTCATCCCAAAAACAAGCGAATGAGCTTTCATGCGGATCTGCTGCAGTCATTACAAGTACTGGAATAGGAGAAAAAAGTCATTCCAGTTTTTTAAAGTTTCTTAAATACTTTAATAGAATTACTATTAAGATCATCTTGCAGTATATCATCAAACATCGAGCCTGAATAACAAGCTTCTATGTAAAATAGCATCTATAAAAAAAAAAAATTATAAAATATAAGATCGAGGATGAGAAAAAACATTTAATTTAAATAGAACTTCTTCTCAATCATCTCTCCAGCGATCACCTTCTTGAATTGTTGCTTCGAGGCCATGTCATTCAAGACATATGCAAGATCATCAGCATATAACATTTTATCTTGAAGGGACAGGTACCCAGGACTACCATGGTCGACAAAATTTACAAAAATGGTGTCATTTGGCCCACTGAAAATTGTTACTTTGAATGTAAATTTTTTAAATGAAAATCAATTCCCTGAAGCAAAAATTAGAATAAAAGAATTTATACCTGAGTATTACTTTTTCGCTGCCGATCCCTCTGACCCCAGTTTGATTTCCTTTAAGGACATTGAGAAAAACACTTGGATTTACGTCCTAATTGTATCAAAAGAAAAAATATTAACAACGCGTTTAAGTCTTTAAGCAAAATCACATACACTGCCAGTGTAATCTTTCGGTACGCCCTTGTAGACATTCGGTCCTCCTGGAAAGTTTATAATCTTCCCTGGAGTCGGATTTCTGAAATTTTCAATTTACAGAATATTATTTCTGAATATCGAACAACTGAAAATATTTTTAGGCAGATTAAAGGTTCAGAATTAACTGCTAGAAATTAAGTTTTTATACAAACTTTTTATTAAAGGCAATATCATCGACCATCATTATTACTATCTGCTCGTCGGGTATGCCATTTGAATGCAATATTTGATATGCGTGGCATATGTCAGCCTGAAACACGATGAAAGTTTTTTAAAGGGTATACTGAAAATTTTTATATACTGAATAAAATCTTTAAAGAAAGAAAACAAAAAACAAGGAAATAAATAAGAATAGTAGTTTCTGTAAATACCAGTCCATCTGTCAGAATACCTGATGTCTGTAATTATCGAATCCCGATGAACCGGCCACTAGTAAAGCCCATGCTTTACCACCATTTGGAAACGCGTTATGAATTTTATGGGAAAGAGACAAATGGACAACAAAAAGGAAAAAAAGGAAAAGCACGCTATTCTTCATGTTCAATTTGATTCACTCTACACGAGAAGTGTTTGGTAGTGGACTGCAGAGCCTGTTATTTATCACTATAAAGGCCTTGACCTTTCAACTGTTAAACCATTTGCCACAATAATGATTTATAAGGAAACAAAATTTAAGATTATTATTATCTGGGCAAACGAATTTGTACGTGATAAAACTTTGATATTTTTTTTTAAGAAATGGACACAGTTTAGTTTTTATTCCTTTTCATGAATTTTTTAAATAAATAACATTTACTAACAATTTACCATTATAATAATGAATCAAAGTGTGAATCACAAAAGTACTTGTAGTTTGGTCATTTCTTATCATAGCATTCGTACTGAACAAAATCATCATTGAAAATAATTTATATATTGTAGGATCTATCCTGTAATTGTTGTATTATTATCATTATAACAGGAATGGTTATTATTATTATTATTATTATTATTATTATTATTAATTTTTAAGGGCGTTTTAACGGCTAAGGTCATTTCACGCCCTAACATCCAAACCTTCTATCTTAGGTTAGCTATATCTCTTCTGAGTGCTATAAAGCTCTGACTCCAAACATTCACTCGTAATCTTATTTATCCTATTGCCATCCAAGCTTTAATTTTTCTTTTTAAAATTCTTAATTCGGAAGGCCAAATGCATACAAAATTCCCATTTTAAATTGCATAAAATTTAATAAATTTATAAAATTTATTTCTGTTTCTTTTTTTAATTAGAATTGTGAATTTTGTTCCATAATTTAAAAATNAAACAACAGGAGAGGGAGTCCTATTTAGAGGAGGTAATCGATTTCGAAAACCTTCTCGGCCCACTGGGCCGAGAGGGCCTTTGAAATGATTTTGGGAAATTTTGAAAAATTGAAAAACAGATGGCGTTTAAATAAAAAGAGAAAAACTAAATAAATAAATCTTGCCCAACCCTGAAACCAGGTTTCTAGAGAGATTCAGGCCCCACACTTCCCAACACTTCCCAATAGGGAATGCGAGCTACAAACTAGCACCCAGCAGACTTGTCTAATCGTCCAAAAAACTTATCCAGTTGAACTCACCTCACCAAAAAACACTTCAAAAAACGCTGGGCTGACAAAGGGACGTCCTAGCTTCCACAACACACCACTGTCATACACTTATTAAACCAATATACCTCAAAACTTCGGTTTTTTCTCGGAGCGGAAATTCTTGTTTGTTACACGTTTTATAGTCCTATTATTATTATTATTATTACTTTAATTTTTAAGGGTGTTTTAATGGCTTATCTTAGCTATATCCGTTCTGTGTGCTGTAAAGCTCTGACTCAAAACATTCACCCATACACTAATCTATCCCATTGCCATCCAAAGCCTTAATTTATCCTTTTAAAATACTTAATTTGGAAGACCAAATGTATGAAAAAACCCATTTTAAATTATGAAATTTATTCCTGTTCTTTACTTAGAATTTCGAATTTTTGTTCCATAATTTACACATTTCGTCAGACTAGCAACAGTCTCAGCATGAGTATATCATTGTTATCATTGTTATACTTATTATTATTCCCTTCAATTACTATGAATACACTATGCTACTTAACAGTAATAATAAAACAAAAACACAATAAAACTTTTTTTGAGGTAGCCATCTATTCTTATTAAAAAGGAATTGTTATTAGTTGTAATTTTGATATGGATAAAAAAATTCTGAAATTTTTTGTAAATTTTATTTGTCGATCAGAGTGTTGCACTTTATTTCAAGAATCAATCCTTTTTGTTTCTCAATACTTACTGAATACTTTCATAAATAAAACACGCTCATTTTATGCCCAGTACTTGGTTTACAAATTCTGGTGGTATTTGTAACATTAAAGGAGGACAATTATAGTTGCTGAAAGAGTTTTTATTTTTCAGCAAATTGAAAAGGAGGCTTTTCAGTTTCAAAAATTTAAAAGAAGCAGAACAAGGAGCAGAGTTCAGGACTGTTTTAAAGGCAGATCTCAAAAAGTAGATTTCAACAGTCAAACGAACTAGGTCTCTTTTACAATTGAATTGAACTTTTACACAAGTTAAGAAAAGTGAAAACAGTATATAAAGAAGTTTAACATGTCATTCTGTAAATATTCTGGTTGTTGCCTTAAAATAAAAAGAATTGTGACCTGCAGACACGATTTTTTTTTTTTTGTCAAATGACACCATTATTGTAAATTTTGTAGACCATGGTAGTCCTGGGTACCTGTCCCTTCAAGATAAAATGTTATATGCTAATGATCTTGCATATGTCTTGAATGACATAGCCTCGAAGCAACAATTCAAGAAGGTGATCGCTGGAATCTAGAAATTCTATTTAAATTAAATGTTTTTTTCTCATCCTCAATCTTATATTTTATGTATATATATATATATATTATACATGCTATTTTACATAGAAGCTTGTTTTTCAGGCTCAATGTTTGATGATATACTGCAAGACGATCTTAATAGTAATTCTAGAATGACTTTTTTTTCTTATTTCAGTACTTGTAATGACTGCAGCAGATCCGCACGAAAGTTCATTCGCTTGTTTTTGGGATGAAAACATAGGGACGCTTTTAGCTGTTTTCACTTCAGTGTGGCTTAATGACTCTAGCCGAGTAAACCATCTGATTTATTGTGTGATTATAAAAATAATAAATCTCAATTTTGTGATTAATTTATTGCCTTCTTGGCAAAGTGGTTTCAGAAAGGGAAGATCTACAATTGACCACAAAGTTGTTTTAGAGGTTGACATTCTGAATGCATTTAATAATGGCGATAGAGTCCTAGCTGTTTTCCTAGATCTAGAAAATGCGTCCGATTGAATATGGAGACGATTAATAATAAACTCACGTATTAAAATGGGTATTAATGGTAATGTGCTAAAATTTATTGTAAATTTTCTATCTGATAGACGTTTTAGAGTGAGATGCAGGACGGCTAAATCTAAAGAATTTATCCAAGAAAATGGGATGCCACAGGGTTATGTTCTTAGTGCCATGTTCTGCACCTATGCAGATAGATTGGTAATTTTATTTTGTTAGTTATAAGTCCTACTTAATAATATAACTAACAAAACAAAGTTACCAATTCAGATAATGCTTTATGCTGATGACATTTGTATCTATCTAAAGGGAAAAAATTTAAGTGTAATGGAAGAAAATATTCAGGACGCTCTGAATTCTGCTTCCGATTGGCTAACCAAAAATGGTTTCAAGATTTCATTGTCAAAAACTAAGGCGGTCCTTTTTTGCAAAGAGAAGGCCTCATACTAATATGTCACTTAAAATTCATGGCACACCTGTAGACTTTGCTGATTCTGTCCGATATTTAGGGGTAATCTTCGATCGTACTCTTAATTGGTCTAAACATTTGAAAACACTGAAAGCACAATGCTCAAATTCTATCAATTTTCTCCAAATGATTAGTGGAACGACATGAGGTGTTGATAGAGCTAGCATGCTAAAAAACTACCGATGTCTCATTCACTCTAAACTGGACTATGGGAGTTGTGCAAACAGCTCTGCTAGTGACAGAACATTGTCCATGATTGAACCGATACAAACACAGGTTTGCCATAACGGATTTAGATGGCACTTAGATTTAGTCCATCTATTAGTGTGCATGCAGAAGCCGGAGAATTGCCACTCAAACATCGGAGATTAAGACTTGATTTGAACTTTGCAATGAAAATTCTCTCATGCTTCCCATTTTCCATGTGGAAACTATTCCGTTTGAAAATACCCTGTGTTGTCATCGAAAACATTTTCCATCTAGAGTGGCTGCTCATTTACAATTAATAAATGCTGCGATCCCCCCTCTCTATAAAACTGGAGTTTCACTTAAACCACCCTGGCTGCTTCCAAAGCCTAATGTATGCTTAGACCTTACTAAATTTTCAAAGCAGAATACTCCCCCCTATATGTACAGTCAAGAATTTTATAAAACAATAGATATATTTTCGAATCCAACACTGTTTTACAGATGGTTCAAAAAATGATGTAGGGATGGGTGCTGCTTTTTTCACTTATAATAATAATGCACAGTATATATTTACCCTACCACCTATATGTAGCAGCTACACTGCTGAGCTTATAGCAATAGCAAAGTGCTTAACAGCCCCATCCAGGGAAACGATTGTCATCTGTACTGACTCTTTGTCGGCGCTATTGGCACTTAAAAATAACTTTTCTGTACATCCATTGATACAAGACATCCCATTTTCCATTGAATCTCTGCAAAATCAGGGAAATAGAGTAGTATTCATGTGGATTCCTGAACACTGCGGAATATTTGGCAATGAGAAGGTGGACCATTAGGCAAAGCAGGCCGTCCTTAATGGAGTTAAAATTACAAAAAACCCAAAATCCGATGTGACAGCTTGGCATAAAAGAAAGTTGGCAGTTATGGCAAAGAGAATGGGAAACAACTTCTAATGTCAAACTTAGGGAGATAAAAGACTGTGTAAAACCTTGGGCCTCATCTCATAGGGGTTCCAGGCACGAAGAAGTTGTCCTTGCTAGGCTCAGAATTGTTCATTGTAGGCTTACTCATTCTTATCACATGGCAAAAAAAGATACTCCGCTTTGTGATGTTTGTACAGAAAGAATAACAGTTAAACACATTTTGCAAAAAATATGAAGGAGAAAGACATCGGCTGGAAATTTCAACCAACATCAAAGACTCGCTTGGTGATGACTCCGACCAAATAGACAAACTACTAACTTTCCTTAAAAAACTAAACTAATTTCTGAAATATGAAGATCAAATGATATAATTTAATTAAAAAAATATTCATTTCTTGCAATAATCTGTATTTTACTCAATGTTGGGAGGTGTCTTGGGGTGCGGTTTGGGTGCCCGTTGGGTGATGGTTGTGAAAGGGTATCCAGGGCGCGTGATACTGCCAGGGCCCTGGTTTCCGATGTCGGGGGGTTCCTGGGCTGTGGCCCACTCACAACCCAGCTTGAAAGCTTTTAAGGCGGGAAAAAAAATTCGAGAAAAACCCGAAAATATCGAGAAAAAAATTTGTCCTTTTCGATGCAAATTTCGATTTTAAAT